ATTAACATCAACTATGAAAAAGTATTAATTGTGTTTGTAGCTTGTCCTTCTTTTTACTCTACATATGCTAAAACAGCATGTATCTGAGTAACAAAAATAATATTTGAATACCTATTAATAATAATGATAATATTAATAATAATAATACATATTATTTACAACATTCTGATGCTTTTGTTATGCTTGTTTTCATTAGAAAAAACCCAGCACTTCCCCACAAGAGGTCTCTATACCTCTTGACGATAAATCATCTAAGGAGTTGTCATTGTTACCTTCTGTCAAGGTAAAGTTTTTCCATTGCTTTTTTATAATTTTAAATTAAATTTAAATTCAATAATTTAATTATTACATTTTTTTTTTCCAAAATTTGTATTGTTTTTTTTTAACATAGTTGTTGTTCTAAATAATTATTGTTGTTTAGTACCTACTACCTATTATATATAGTACGTTTTCACAAATTTCTTATCAGTTACAATACTTATATTTGGACCATATTTTGTAAATCAAATTGAATGAATAAATTAATTAGAAAAAAAATTGCTTTTAATTAAAGAGTTGTAAATATTATTAATCCTTTAATGTAGTCATGCAGTATGTATTTTTGGGAAAACGTTCTTAATATTATAATATTGAATATTGCTCGTTACTGTTTTTGTCTTATTAATAATATTATATTATAATTTGTTTTATTATGTAATATTTGAATGTATCAAGTATTGTTTGCTCAAATCATCATACTAATAATATAAGAAACACTCAAATTGGTATTATTAATTTGAGTGAACACAGCTTTATACTATTACTAAAATGTTTTTTTTTAATTTTGTTTTTTTAAATCTATAATATTATGTTATTTGTATTCTGCCCAGTGATGTCAAAAAGAAAAAAACAATAACAACAACAACAAATGTAAATAATAACTGTGCCTGTAGCACATTTTTAGGCTTCTATTGCTTTCAGAATATTATATAATAGATGCCTGTTGTAAATAATTGAAAGTTCTACATGCTAAAAAAAAATTATTTGTACAAAGAAATTTCTATCCTTAAACTTGTTTGCACACAAAAATGCACTGTATAATAATTATTATGTTGTGGAGGGATTTACTATATTTATTATAAATAACTAAAATTACACGTATCTTGTTGTATATATATATTATACAATCTTACAATAACAATTTAACACAAACAAAATTAACAAAAAAAAGACAGAAAATGTTATTACATGTTATGCATATAATGTTTTTGTATAAACTGACATTGTGATGGTTTTTCTTTTCCTTTCTCTATGAGATACTTTTTTTTATTTTTGTTTTCTTATCACACAGCAGTAGCCGCCAATATTTGCTTAGTCAATGTAAAACCACATATTTGGCTATCTTATCGTAAACAATTAATTTTTTTGCATTACTTTTATGTAATGAATACAATTTTACCTTGTTTGTGTAAGAACTAAAAAAAAACATTGGTTTTGATTTTTTTCCTATTGCAAACATTTTCAAGATACTCTTAAACCTAAATGATAATCATTATCAATATCCCAATTTTATTATTCATAATATTTTTGTTGTATTTTGCTTTTTTGTTTAAACGTTATTAGATAATGTTCTCTGCCCAGGCTTTATTAATTATGATGAAGATTGAGACCAGTCATGAAAATGTGAAATATTAGAAACATTCCAAGTCCTTTGGATATTAAATTTATTTCATAATAATAAACAAAATTGATTTATATAGATCATTTTATTATATTATATCATATATTCTCAGTATATTATGTTAAGTAATCAATTATTGGTTGGATTATATATATATAAGTTTATTTGTATTATTCTTTATATTATATTTGATTTACATAATAATAATTATTTAGTTTTAATTTTTAATACATAGGTGATGGTGTTATTTGTTTTTTTATTCTAGTGAATAATTTTAAAAGTATTACATTTTGTATTTGTAACTTTTTAGGATGAAGTGAAAGAGAGAACTGAAGGAAGTCCCATACTATCATCTTTAGATGATTCTTCACACAAGGCAGTCGGATTTCTTGGTGCAATCAAAATTCCTGTATGTATACGTATATTTAAAAATTCTGTTATTGTTTTTATTTAAGTATTACTATTATTATTATTATCATTTACATTTTAGGGCGTAGTGGAGTTCTCTATGTGTTTGTTCTTTGCCAAACTAGTCAGTTATACTTTCCTATACTGGTTACCAAACTATATTAAGGCTTCTAGTAAGTATTAATGTTTTATTGACCTGTGATAGTAATGTTATACTTATACAATTTCACAAAATTTATTTTTTCTAAATATTTCATTCATGTGAAAAATGAAAAATTAATGCATAATATATTAAAAAAAAAAAAAAAAAAATTTGTATATTATCTAGTTATACACTTGGTCCCCTAGAGAATAGTAATCACCATTAACAAGATAATTCGTGAACATGAAAATAAAAGCAACAAAAATGTATAATATTTAATATTATATATTACAGCCTGTCCCACAAAGATATTCCCCTTGAATATCTCCCAAGATAATAAAAATATTTAAATTATGTTTTTTTTATTAAAAAAATAACTTTATTTTATTATTTTCAGAAAATTTTAAGATAGCTATTATGTACAGTTTATTTTTTTCAAAATTTTAATGTATCACCCATTTATATCTAAATAGTTTCTAAGTAACTAAGTAACGACCAGTTTAAGTTCTACTAATCCATGTGAAAATCGATGTTATCTAGAGACTAACCTAACCATGTTAAACAAAAACTTCAGATGAGTAGAATTTAAACCTGCTGTTACTTAAAAACTATTAATTGGATATAAATGTGTAATACATTCAAAATTTGAGAAAAATAAACTCTACAGAACAGCTACCTTAAAATTTTCCAAAAATTAATTTGTATATATATTTATAGTCCTCATCCCTATGAGTACTGTAAAAAAAAAACATAATTTGATTATCTTTATTATTTCTGCAATATCTTCATGGGACAGTCTGTATTTTGACATATTTTGAGAAAAGTGAAGTATTCAAGTTAAATTTAAATTAAAAAATATTATAACAATTTAATATTATTGTTGTTCATATATTTATATATTTATTATAATATTATTTATAGCTTCCTACAGTGCATCGCAAAGTGCAGATTTATCTACCTTGTTTGATGTGGGTGGAATTTTTGGTGGGATTGCTGCTGGGATATTCAGTGATATGTATGGAAAAAGCGCGTGTACTTGTGCAGTGATGTTGTTTTTGGCCATTCCATCTGTATGTTGCACAATAATATCAGTATTTTTTTTCCTATTAATAATATTGTTTTAATTTTATTATATGTTAATTTTGTTGTGTTTCAGTTGTATGCCTACAATTTGTTGGCGTCAATTAATTTATATTTCAGCATTGGGTTGTTGTTGACTGTAGGTGGTTTAGTCAATGGTCCATACGCTCTGATCACCACTGCTGTGTCAGCAGAACTGGGTACACATGACTGTTTGAAAGGAAACGCTAAAGCACTGGCCACTGTAACATCCATTATCGATGGCACAGGATCCATAGGTAATCAATAAAATGCCATACCATTTGCTTGAATCAGCTTGATATGAACAGATTTTTAAATCATTTTATTTTTAATTAGGAGCGGCTGTTGGACCATTATTAGCAGCTTACACATCTGACATGTTTGGATGGACAAGCGTTTTTTACATGTTAATGGCTTCAAATGTACTCGCTATTGTGGTAAGCAAATTGTTGTGTTTTATTTGTCTACCCCTGGTTTTAGATTCTGAGTAAAATGAAAATATATTCCTTTTACTAATGTGTACTTTAGTTTTAATCACTGAGACATTTTGTTTAGAAGACTTGCTCCAATTTTACCAACAGCAAGTGGTTTTATACAATTTTGACATATTTAACTAAACATCGATAAGAATTTTTTGCTTCCCAATTATTTATCTTTGTATACAGTTACCCAATATATACTACTTTCTCAACTTTTTTAAATTTTTATCCACAATAACATTAAAAATTGGTTTTTATTATTTATAATAATATTTTAAAACAATAATACCTACTATTATTTTACTTAATAAAAAACAAAATCTAGCTTAACTAATATTTTATATTAAAATAAAACTAGCGAAGTATACAATATATTAATAATTTTATGAAATAAATAGTGGGTGGGTATACAATTACTTTTGAACAAATATTAATGTCCTAAAAAACATTTATAGTAACATTTTATTTGTAAAAAAAATAATGTACACCCTAGATGATAATTTTATTAATAATATTTTAAATAGTAAAAATTATTAAAACAATGATAATAAAGAAAAATTAATATTAGTTCAGCATCATCTATGGAGAAAAAGAGTTCAATTTAAATGTATGACATTTCTAAAGTTTAAAAATATTAATTTTCTATGTAAAATTAATATTCTCATATAGTCTGATAATTTATTTTTAAATTGGGTTATATACAAAGTCATCTATAGGTAATATCATTATATTGCTTACTATTAATTATAATATAGACCACTATGCTAATAAAATTAAATACAAAAACAATATGAGGAGGATATAGTATAACAGTATTATGGAGTACAAAGTATAGTCATATCTGGTATTTAATATTAATGCACCAAAAGTAATAACATTCAAACACTTTTTTTAAAAACACATGCAATGCAATTAGGAATGTAGTAATAATAAAAATAATTAAATTAATCAATACAAAATCATTATAATTTTACTTCTTAAACATTAATAATAACTATCACATAGGTAGGTATAGGTTAGTATAAGTTTCAATTACAAATTTTTTCAGATCGGATAGGGAATATAACATAAAGAAAACATTAAAATACTCTTAAAATAGTTAACTTAGCATTATGATTAAGTAGAATATAGTTATATAATATATTAGAACACTCATTTTAAAATTATATTATACAGTTTTGACTAACCATTTAAATGTTATATTTATTAATTTTCAGTTGCTTACACGATTAGTGAAACGGGAGCTGCAAAATGTTGGCTAGATTGGAGAGAGGAAGAAAAAAAACTATAACTCTAATAAGACTTATGTTAAAAATGGAAATTATTAGTTAGTGAATTTCCATCACTGTTATACAGTTAATAGGTTAAAAATATAATAGGAGTTACTCTAGGAGTAACTTTTTGTAGAATTAAAGCACATCTTAGCCACTTAAGTATTAAATATTAAGTTCTTCGTTCCATTTTTATCAACTAGAAATGTTAAAATAGTTTCCAAATAGTTATTGCTATTATTATTATTATTATTTATTGTTTATTTTTACACACTTGTGTATTATTTATGTTTATTTGAAATTATTATTTACGTTTCTCCCAAAAATTAACTATTTGATTATTGTATCCATTGACAAGACATCGTGCCTGGTATGCACCTATACAACTGTATTTTTTTTTCTTTTATACTATACAATACTATGTAATTATTGTGATCTTGTAACATTATGTATACTGCTGCTCACAGGTATGATATTATGATACCTATAGAATTATAATTTTAAACTCTTGTTTAATGTGTCATATCTTGTTGGATTATTTTATAATTATTCTACATATAATATAAATTTGAATGTGATTATGGTTAAAAGGAATAACAATAACTAAGGACTATTTTTTATCCTAACCATTGGAATTTATTTTAGATTTTAAACTAAATATTCATTTTTATTTTTGAAAAAACCGTTATTATTTGTTCTATTTTTTTTTTTTCTGGAAAATTCATTATTGTTATTTATAATTGTGTCCATAGTAAATATAATTTTATGTAAACACACTCTTACACACATAATTTATACATTGTAATATTATTTACCTGTAATATGTAGTTATTTATTTATTTATTTTTTTTTTTGTCATACTGATATAATGATCATTTATGGATTAATTTTTATGTAACTTAAGTTATATTATTATTATTGTATGTATGTATTAGTGTCATATATTGTATAAGTATCTTCCTAACTTATTGTGGGAGAAAAGCAAAAACCTATCAAATATTGTTTCATTTACCTTTCTCAACTGTTTCTAATTTCTAATATCTATATAATATTTATTTATTACCTTTTATAATAATAATAATAATAATATGTATTTTACATAAGTGTAATAATTAGTGGAAAACCATAATATGTGGTCAAAAGTATTAGGTTGACAATGGAAATAATAAAAATTAAAAAATTGGCATCCATCACTTTGATTTTAGAATATGTATTATTATCCCAACGAGAGCGCACTGAGCCATCCTGTGCATCCAGTAGAATCTAAAAAACAAATAGATAATTTAGTGATGACAGAGGGCTTTTGAAAAGTATTTTTTTTTAAAAAAAAACCTCTGGAGTTTGCATAAAGCCTGTGGTATTGTGGAAGGCGGGTCTTTGAGCACAAAGTTCCGGATACCAAATACGTAGTCCTTGACATATGTGTCCCATACCACCTGCGTGATATCAACTGGGAACTCAGCTCTGTCAGCAGCGTTGGTGTCCCTGTCCAGTTCCTGAATGTTTTTGCTGATAAAGTCCCACTGATGCAATGCAAAGAACTCTCCAGTTCGCGCTGCCATCTTAAAACGCCGGTAGATTTTCAACATCCTATCCAAAAAAGATTTGCATTATGTACATTTTACACATAATAGACTAAATCGATCTGTCTGTTTTGGCATTTAGGATAAAATTAGAATTTAAACAACTAATAAATTCAATTCTTGAAAATGTGTTATTTGTGATTAAACTCCAATATCCAATATAAACACGACATGTGTTTTTGTATTTTAAAAGTGACAATTTTGCTATGTTGTGTACCTAAGTCAATAGATATGAGTATTACATGTTTCTTAATCACAAAACTATAGATCTACCCGCGTTTTACCATGCCATGATTTATGTGATGCACGAGCACAAGGCCCCCTAAATTCTCAGTTGAATCTCCCTTCCCATTAAATAAAAAAAAATAAATAAATATTTGTATAAGAACCTACAAATGATTATTGAATAAGTAATTATCATGAAATAAGAATGTGAAAATATTTTTTTATTTAATTATATTACCTATGCACCTATATCATTTTCTGCAGTTAAATGTAAACAAATTTGAATGCGTACTTCTTTAACACAAGAGTAACTGAATTCTTTATTATTTTTGACAATTAATCATTTTAATACAAATCAATTTATCTTTTTGAAGACACTATTGCTGAATATGTAAAAATCAAGATAAAAAATGTATATCGATTACTAATTAACTATTTATTAACTTTTTAAAATTGTAATTTACAGATTAAACTTGCATTATTGGTATATTCTACTACTTAAAATAGGTATTGAATTTCAAATATTTTTTGTTTATATCTATCAAGCTTTTCTTTTTTATTTAAAAAGGGTCCCAAATTAGAGCACAAGGCCTCTATTTCTTTAAATCTGCCCCTGCGTCCCACATATTTATAATTCGTGTTCTGTAATAATTACGAATATAATGAAACTGTGAGTCATTGTGCATCTAGTTTCGTAAATTGAAAATATACATTGTACCTAGTGTTTGAGCCTTTTCAGAGAAATTTCAGATCTCTACGATTATTTTTAACCAAATTGCAATAAAAAAAATCAAATCGTAAATAATGAAACTGTCAGTTTCGTAAACTTTACTGTTTTTTCACAGTGATTAATTAAACGACCAGTCGAATCAAAAAACGATATCCGAACACATCAAACAGATTAAATTGTCTTTAAGAAGAGACGTTACAATTGAAAAATCATCAAATCGAAGTATCTAATATTTCTAGATGAAAAGTCGTTCGCCCACACACACACACACACACACACACATACAAAAAACAAATTCTTCGATGTGCTCAGAACTGAAAAGAGCGAGACACAATGAAATTTGTCCAAGACATTCCAGAATATTATACAGGTACTAAAGTAGCCAGTAGGTTTAAATATATATAATTATTAATTATTATTTGTATTGTTCTTTGACCCTATTCGAATTTAACTGTGAGTGATTGGTAGAGGCCTATATAATAATAGACGCCGTTCATATTTCTAATACTAATTTCAATGCTTATCCAATTTCGTTACACCTAAGTAAAATATTAATAGCTGGTATACACCTCTTAAACCTATCAACGAAATATTAATATTAATCCCGCGGTATTTAAAAATTTGTAAAAGAAAACGGTTTAATATTTACGGCGAAAGATCGTTTATATAGCAGTGTATTAAAAAAAGAAAAAAAAAGAAGATATAATTCATTGCCTTTTTAACGTAGATACCTAATATATTATGATTAAGTGTTTACTTAACGTGTCGGCCATTTACCACACTAAGCTGCAGCAGCCTCAAACGGTGTTTTTTTTTTTTTTTCTACGCGTGTAAATTATTCTAATTTAAATTATAAATCGCCAGTAATCACGCAACATTATAATTTATAAGGTCCCTAACTAACCGCTAATCGGCATTCGGCTATACGTTTTGAAGACATTCATAAAATATAGTAGAAGTACGCGATAATTTCAAACGTACCTAAGCATTTCATCATATCATTATTCTAAATAAAATAAAATTACAAATTTGATTTTAACGGTTTTAAAAAAGTACCAATGTGCAGCTTACACTATAACTACAATATAGCACAATTTCGAGATAACAACTTTAAGTCAAACCCTACTCGCACTTGTTATATATTGTTGAAATTTAATAGGAAGACTTTTAAAAGTACATAAAGTTAAAATTTGTAGTGCTGAGACTACTAAGTTTAGGTACATTTTCAGTGCTAGGTACATAAAATGAAATAAAAACTAATAAAACGAAATGTAACCCGTAAAACCATAATCAATATTGTTAGCAAACTGTTGAAATTTGATGGGAATAAGTTTCTAATATATTCAAATTTAAATACCTACGTAAGTATAATGCCAAATACACTATTATATTATATAGGATGTCTCACGAAGATTCGACAAATGCAATAACTTTAGTTCTATTTAATGTCTAAATTTTGTATATTTTATAACAATTACTAAAGACTTGCGTTGTGATTCGCCTACTTTCTATTTTTTTTGATTCTGAGTGGAGCGAGCAATATATTGGTTTTACAATGATGTTTATTTATTTACTTTTTCTGAGGATAACTTTTCTACCAGACATTTTGCTCCAATTTACAATAATAGCATTTTTTCTGAAAAGAAATCTGACTAGGAAGGTACTTTAAGGAGGTCATTTTTTAATTTTCCCAGGAGTTTTCCCGTCGAAAAACCGGTCAGTGAGCTATTTATGCTATCTAAAATCAATGCTATAACTTGTACATTTTTGACGAGTAACTATTGTAACTACTAGTAAACAGAAAATAGAAGCAAATTAAAAAAGTAACTTTAACTTGTAATTTTGTAACTTGTACATTTTTGATTAGTAACTAGTAACTTAACTTATTTTTTTTTTTATTTATAAGAACTTGTAAATTAACTAAGTTACTTAATTAAGGAAAGTGATTGTAACTTACTCAGTTACTAAAGTTAAGTAACTTGCTCAGCTTTGTTGTCAACACCCTTTTCCGGATGGAAAAAATTTGGCCGATTATACTGACTACTGAGTATCATATTGATATTGAGGTTATTTCAGTGACAATGTTTCAATGGGAGGGGATGTACAGTAAATAATAGTCATTAATCACGAAAATTCGTAACAACTTCTTCTTAAGCATAGGAGATTGTAATTTAAAAGCCGGTCCCGTCAAAAAAACCATTGACGGTTTAATGACGGGTCAATGTTTACTCAATAAATCAAACTTTTCCATGTACAGCGCTTGGTCAAAATATTAACATTTTTAGATCAAACTGTGCTAAGCAAATATTTAGAATTTTTATATTTTTAAGCCATCCGGGGGGGGGGGGCAGGGAGATATAACCTCTAAACTCCGTTATACAGTGTACGACACCGGGGTATTATTTTATAAACGATTCTATTAGGCAAGCGCAATAGTATTTACATGGGTTTGGAACCAGTGAGCCGGAGAACGATGTCCAGGATAAAGGCGGGCACGAAATGGAAGAGGATCTCGCACAGTCTGTGCACCATGCGGTTGGTTCGGAACGAGAAGCCCGGGTACCATTGCAAGTACTTGGAAGGAGCGGTCAGCGAATGGTATTGGCACAGGTTGCCGAGTTCTTCCCAGCGCAACGGATTCCTCGCGCCGGACGTGCAGTTGTACACCCTGACGGCGTTTTGTCTGAAAAAGAAATAAATCAAACGGATATCGTCAGGTTTATTCGGTGTCGACATGTCGTAATATACAACGATTTCGTTGCCCTAAAAAACATTGAACATTAACTTGTAAAAGTGACCAAAAGTGCAGGTTTTTTTTTTAAATATTTTAAATCATATGCGATCCCAAAAATTCTAATAGCTTTCCCAAAACTATTCCAAGTTTTTTTTTTCTACTTATTTAATTTCTTAATAGTTTATGCTGCACGGTAAAACATTTGTTTGTAACAAAATATAAATTATAACCAATGAATTTATCATTGATGAAAATTGAAAAAGAACAGTCACGGTTTTTACGGCAATCAAACAATATGAAAGTGGTGGAATTATTTTACTGTGCATTCGTTTTCATATTTTTAAGATTTTTTCTTAATTCATGATTGAACAAATCGTATTTATCGTAGATGTTATTTATCAATTACAATATCATTGTTATATTGTACATTGTAATTTGTAGCTCGTAATTAGAGCAGAGGACGTGTAGCTCTTAAAAAAAAAAAAACATTAAATATGTAAGCACTTATGTACGTAAAAACCCTATAATATGCATTAAAAAATATGCTTTATTATTAAATTTGATTACAAAAAACAATAATTTTGTATCGATTTAATTAGTTGATTAATTACATTGATAGGTACATTATAATTTATATTGATAAAATTATAACCGGAAAAGGTTACTCGCAGTATTACTCGCACAATAATTGCTCGATTAAGTAGCCAGGACTTCAACCCCCCCTCCCCTCACAAATCTCACAACTCTATTGGCACTTATGATGTGATAAATACGGCATATTATAAATACACACAATGCGCTGCATAATATCTTACCACTGTCAGAACAGAATCAATCAAGCGTTTCGTTACTCGAAAAATGGCGGTTTCGAGTCATACCGTTTTTCCTATAGTGCAATGCAACGGAGTTTTTTTTACGGAGCACAAACGTATTTACTTGTGTCTACAAAATTACAAAAACAGTTCAGACGAGAAAACACGATAAGGCATCCGGGAAGAAAATATAATAGAGCTTGCCGTATATGCAATAGCCAAAATAATAATAATACTAATAATGTACGGTATCTGAAAACAATACGCGTTATTTTCGACTGCTTACTATCGCATTACAATTAATTTATACACGTAGATAGGGCTTCGGTCCTACAGCGGTATCAATTCAAACAAAGAGGTAATTAATTTCGAGATAATTAATTTTTATTTTAAACGGCGTAGTTTAAATGCACAATTTGATTTGCAAACGAACAAAAATCCGAAATCGAACGACGGTAAAATATAGGCGTATCCGGATAAAACACTTTTCGTTTTATGAGTATTAGTAAGGTATCATTTGACAATGCGTGAAGTATTGAAAATCGGTTTTACGAATCGTAACATCAATGAAGTTTCGATGACGCAATACGATAGCTAGTTTTTTTTCCATTAAAAAAAAAAAAAATAATAATAATAATAATAAAACCGATATTCAAACACTTTTTGAGAGTGTTTGAAACGCGTTTTTAATTGACGAAGTTATTAATATCGTTCGGAACAGGTACATTATAAGTGCGTGTGGCCAACGAGGATTTGTCAAAGAGAGGGGGAGGGGTCCAAACATAGGTGATAAAAGATGTCGTTGCATAACAAAATATACATTTTTAAGTTATATATACCAAATGATCAATGTAATTTTCATTATGCTATAGTGAAAAACTGTATGTGTCACAAGCAAAACAAGCTGATATTGCTAACGGGTGCGCTTCTGCTATAGATGAAAAGTGTAGAAGATAGAATACGTAAAGTTATTTAGTTTATATCTGCAATGATAAACCATTGCAAACGAAAAACGATTCAGAAATTTTATGCATGATTTGAAAGGCCATAAATTTGATCTTAAAACTAACAGAAAAAAACGAAATTACTACATTACACTCTACTTTTCATTTCTACAGGGCGATAAATGGGCCAGTAATTTAACTCTTGATGATTTACATTTTTATCAACAGATCAAATTTAAACCACGATTTACGCAACAAAATTTCTTTTGACTCCAGACAAACGAGTTTGTCTCTGTGTAAACATATTTGGTGTGACCCATGAAAAATTACAAGTAAATACATTTTTCCAACGTAACTTTTACTCAATATAACAGCAACATTAAATATTCACAGTGAAAAATCCGACCGCTGTTTTTTCAACGCCAATTCGTCAACAATGATTTCATCAACAACTACAACCGCCACACCTAGTTGCCCGTGTATATTGGGGAGAGGTATACGATCAATTTAATCGGTTTTTCGAGTTTATATTTCTGAAATAAGTTTTTAAAACTTTGACATTAAAATCTCTTTTTTTTTTAATTTTGTACATTTATGCGACCCAATGGGATGAGTCTTACCCCGTGAACGTGCCGCCGATTGGAGCGCGTTGCTGCCGGATTAATGGCGCGCCTCGGCAGAAGGTCGACGAGATCAAATGCGTATTATTATACTAAAGGAGTAGGTATACATGTAGATAGGTGTACACTATATACACACAAAACGCACAGGTATACCTTTTCACGGGACCCTTTCGCCATTTGCACGTCAACCCTCTAAAAGCATTTTAAATATTTATTATTCCGAAAACGTCTTGTTTTACACAGACAAATATTGGTGTCTACCTACGCTGCAGTACCGGGCGCGCGGCGGCGCGGGTATAATGTAATGCGATTATAATGCTGCCCGGTCGTCGCACACCCGAAAACGCAATAATATGCAAAATATTATACAGATTAGGCGAACGGGGAGTAAAACAAGACGTTAATATGAGTTATAATAATAATATTGTTATTATTATTATTATTATTATTATGATATAGTTTAATCTCGGCAGTGTCGGCGTGAACAATTGGTGTCACGAGAACAACCGTAGTAATACACATGCTGCACATTTTGTCACGAAACGGACGTGATACCGTCTTATGAGTTCAAAAACACAATGTGTCCGAAAAGCCGTTATTAATACGCAATATGGGGGGACCTATCGGCGCAGGAGGAGGTCTAAAAACAAACTATCGATTCTGCCACCTACACGTTTTTACCAGCAGCTTTCCGTTTTCCCCTCATTTAATTACGTAACAAATAATATAGTTGCACAGACAACAAATTTATGTATCGACATTATAATGCGATCAAATATATACCATAATACAACATTTCAAATTATTATACTACCTGTATACACAGTGTCCCACGGGGGTTCGACAAATGAAATGACTTTTGTTCTATTCGATATATTATTTATTTATTTATTTTTTTTTTAATTAATAACTATGCCTCTGCGCTACAGTTTATGTTTGCGCATTTTTTTTTTTTCCGGGGGAGTGGGACTTAAAATAAAAATTAAAAATTTCGCCAAGCATAATTTCCTTTAAAAAAGATTCAAAATAGCCATTTTGTACAAATAGATTTTTAGAAATTTTTTCGGTGATACTTAAGTTTCAGTATGGTTTAAGTGGTTTATTGTTTAAGTATGGTCTTACATTTTCTACGATTTGTTGACAACATTTGAACAGTTTTCTTTTTAATCGTAACAATGTTGTTTTACAACATAAATTACCATTATTGATTGGTTGACAATACATAATACTTATACTATGATAATATTATCGCATGGTATTAATTCGCGGAAAAGAAAATCCTTGTCATGTGCCCCCCTGACTAATAATACAGATTAAATATTGTAATATTCACATTTACAAAAACTTCGAAAAAGACTTCGTAGAAAATAAAAGACCATATTTTATCAACCATCAAACATTTTCTAAAAATCTAATTTACAAAATGGCTATTTTGAATGTTTTTAAAAAAAATTTTTTTACTATAAATCCCCTCACCACTAAAAAAAAAAATGTTCATATATAATTGTAGCGCTGAAGCACAATAGTTATTTAAAGTATATATATTAAAAACATTGACCATTGAACCACAACGCAAGGCTTTAGTAATTATTACAAAATATAACCATTTAAATATTGAACAAAAATTATTGCATTTGTCGAATCCTCGTGGGACACCCCGTGTAGGTAATATAATTACGTATATTAATATAACGTTTAAAATAATTTTGAATTTTAAGTAATACACATTGTTTTAAATAAAATCGATGTATTCTATTGGTTAGGTACAATAGGAAAGTATTTATAAAAAAAAAAAAAAAATTGTCTATTACAATATGAAGTCGATATCCAAGTCGTACCGTGTAATAATTATTGTTTACGCTAAATCATAATTGCCAAATCAAAATATAATTTAAATATTAATGCGTCAAATATAAGTGGATATTTTAATAAATTATTAGGTGTCGGAATTGATGAACTACCTGAGATTCTGAGAAAAACAAATTATGATACGGGTAATAATAAAATAGACCGATACAAACCGGAGTACCGAAATGACGTAAGTTTACAACGAGTTAAACAACTCCTAAAATAACTCTTAATGTAAAACCTCTCCATGCACGGCGGCATCATCATATGATTCCACTGAATTGTAATACTTGAATTATTTTTTCAATATTGCACTGTGGTATCATATGATACCGCATACTAAAATCTTATTTTAAGTAAGTCAAAAATAAAAAATAAGTTGTTTTTATTTTTTCCAACGACATTCGGTATTGTGCAATTCGATTTTCAATTTAAATATTTCATTTCTAAGAATATCGATACAGTCATTTCGGGGAAGGGGGAATTTTTGAAATACTAACAATAACCAATATTACGTGTAATACAATCACGCAATGTTCTCTGCGCGATATTTGTTGGTGTCCCTATAAGTTGTAAATTAGAACTCGTAACATTGCGTAACATTATACCGATAAACCGAATTCGAGATATATTTTTTTTTTAAATCACAATTATTATAAACCATTTCTCTCCGATATCGTGGTCAGTTGAAAATTCCAAAATATCTTCCAGAGTCCAGTTTAACTCTTTATCTATGAACGTATCGAACACAAAACGAAATTTGTTCTAGTTGAGATACGTCTTGTGTTTTGATAAACACAATAATATGTTGTTTACAGTTTTCAACTTTCGAGTAATTTTCAGGAGGGTGGGGGATGGGGATTGAACCCCCAACCCCTCCTCTATAAACATGTCCGTATTAATATTATAAATGCGAAATTTTGTTTTGGATGAATGTTTGTCACTCCTTCGTGCTAAAACTATAGGTAGTAAATAGTAGTAATTAGTAGGTAAACGAACGGATTGTAGAGTTAGAATTTCGTTTGGATATTATGTAGTTCTAGACCAGGAATAACATACGGGCTACTTTTCCCTTAGTGGCTATGAATTTAAACCCCTAAAGGGAGGGGGGTCTGGCACAGGGTTTATTACAAATATTTTATTATTCCAGAGCAGTGGTGGCGTTTTAATGTAAATTTTTTATATAGAGTATAAGAAAGAAACCGAGAATTTCAAAAAACCTCATAAAAGAATGAAAAAGTCGTATTTCAGCTATGAAGGGCACGGCGAAGTAACAGAAAATGCCGAACTCCTTTTCAAACTTTTTTTTTAGTCATCGACTAAGCGTTGAGTTCAATAAAGAACGATTTCCCGTATAATATTGAACAATATTAAAAAATATGAAAAATAACGATCTTTTAAACAACTGTAAAGATTTTGAAATAACTTTTCAAAAGATGTAGATGATATTGCGTTTTATGGCGAATTAATTATTCTGAGAAATATGAATGATGAAAATAGTACGTCATTCGATATTTTATCACCGCTGAACAAAAATGTTGAGTCCTTCTTCAAATATGTACTTGTGTCGCATTAAAAGTTATATTAACAATATCCGTAACATCGGCGACTGACGAAAGAAAAAGTTTTTCAAAGTTGAAAATTATAAAAAAACATTTTGAAGAATTACACTGTTTCGCAATATATATGTTGTCAAATAGTATTAATTTCGATCGAAAAAAAAAATAGCAAAGTGTCCATAGTTCAAAATAATTATGACATATACTGGCAAAAATCAAGAAAAATAAAAAACTGTTTAATAATTATCAGTTTAAAAATAATTAGTTACAGTATTATTACTTTTTTTCGTATTTTATATTTACAAATTTCGCAATAATGTATGTTTGTCTAATAAAATATTATTATTACATATGATACGTATTACACGTGATTTTTCTCCTAAATCGAAGAAAAATTCTTTATCCTATTTATTTAAAATATTAAATTTATGCAATTGGCACAAATTAACGTATTATTCAATTCAATTTCGCCCGTTGATTTTATTGTACGGAAATGTTTCCGTAGAAATAGGCGCAGAATTGTACAGAGTATAAGGAATAAAAGATACTCAATTATTCTGCATTATAATAATATATATGCGTGAAAACACAATAATAATACATGCTATTGCTGTGGCGAAAAAAAATTCGGGAAAGGGTAATAATTTCCCGTTTTTCCTAGGTTCTCCCCCCCCCCGGTTTTTCTCATATTTTGGCAAAACTCCTGGGAAAATCGAAAAAATGATCTTCTTAAAGTATCTCACTAGTCAGATTTCCTTTCAGAAAAATGTCTATAACGGTAAATCGGAGCGAAATTACTTGTAGAAGAGTTGTTCACGGGGAAAAAAAAATAAACTTCATTGTAAAACCAATACACTCCTCGCTACGCTTCGAGTATAAAATATATCGTAAAGGAATACACACGCACACAAACAAAACGATTTCGTTGCATGTCTTTTAATTTTCTGAAAACTCCAATATTATACTTCTATAATATGTTGTGCTGTAGGTAATTGTACTTAATAAAATATGACGACGAATAAAGTATTATGATGATGTAAAAAAGGACCCTGAAATTATGTAAAATACAGGATCCGGTAGACTAAATTTTTATTAGGTTTATTATCCGTGCGCCTACATCATACTCTCAAAGTTGGAACACATAATTTCGAAAATCCCAGACAGAAACGTTTGATTCTACGACCTGTAATATGGAAAGCGTGTAACAGAATAATATTATAGTAAACGAATAGAGGCGGAAAAAAACTACCGCCGCCGCAGACGACGAAAACGTAGAGATTATTATTATTATTATTATTTTTTTTTTTTTATAAACCGTAATCAAATTTGTATTACCTACATAACCGAGCGCCGAGGTCTTGGTGAATTGCGATATTCGAAATTCAAAATACGGTATGGCTCCCGCTGCTCTTTTGTCGTTACGCGTGCACCTGCTTCTAATTTAAATAATCCGTTTTCGAAATTATTATCTGTTACCAATAGAGAACTGAGAATTTTCCGTTTTATAAAGTTTTCGTTATAATTTTTTTCGTGCGTATTCTGAACGGACCAAGTAATTGGATTCACTTTTATGTGTTTTATTTTGTCTGTAAGCAATTTTTCTACCGGAAATCTATACAGAGCAACTAAGCAAAAAGTTCACTGTCGAATAATTTTTGATTTAGAATGGTGCACTCGAGGAGGTAATTCATTGATTTTTCTTATAAGTTTCTCAATAAATAGGAAAAACTGGTCATTTTTTTTGTCGATTTCTGACAACAAGGGAAAATATACGACTAGACTAACAATACTCAGCTTATAATCGTTTACCCTTACTATCGGTATTTCGTTGCGTATAAATAGAAATTAAATTACTTTATATTATAACATCTCTTTCAACTTCTCGTTATTAGTAGTATCGGTTTTTTTTTTTTTCTATAATCAATCGTTTTAGACTTAGAGCGTAGCGAGGAATGTATTGGTTTTACAACGGTATTATTTTATGTGTTATATTTTGTTTTTATTCTGTAAGCAACCTTTCTACCAGAAATCTTGCACCGATGCAAGTGTATCACTTATTATGAAAGGAAATTGTATCTATAGTTAATATTTTAAACCTTAGAGAGGTATTTTTTTTTTTGATTTTCCAAGTGGTTTTCATGATAATTGAGAAAAACCGGTAAAAAAAACGTTGGGAAAACGGAATAATTAACATGAGTACATGCATAAAATAAATTTCGCTCCGAATCGTTTGTCGTTTGTCGTAAACAATTGTTCGTGGTTACGTACAGATATAAATTAAATTTCCCTCCAACTTTCCAATTTCTCACCTACAACACCCACCCATCGTGCGAAGTATTTTTGTTTGTATTTTTTTTTTTTTTTTAAACGGCTTCCATTTTACAATAAAAAAAACAATTTTAAAACTATTGAAAATTGAAAAACGCCGTGCTGGCTTAGTTTTTTCCGCAGAAAAGTTTTTATATTTCATATAGTGCTATACGTATAGAAAAAAAAAAAACTAAATTACGATCGGATGTTATGTAACAAGCGAAATCGTATTTTTATTTTTCCCGCAAACACGCCGTCTTTCTCTCAATTTCTTTACCCTCTCGACGAAGTTACATAATTTCTAAGTAGATTGTAACATCAGCTGCTGAGCAGACTTATAATATCCACTTTTCCTCGAACCTCTCCTCTGTAGAAAACCGTTAAAAACTTTTTCCCCGCCTTTATCTGTTATATAGGTACTATTATAATGTTTTCTTGATTATAAAGCTTTTATTTTTTTTTAAAATTACCATTTCTCTCCCACAGTTCTCCCCCGACCCTGCAACCTATTGTTTATTTTTCCTGATTTAATTTATTCATTAAATAATTTTTTTATTTACTCTTTTTTTTTTTTTTTTAATTAGGGGTGAAAAGAATTATTTCTTTTCTCCCCTAATTTTAGATTCCGTCTATATTATTATAATTTCTATATACTTTATGCGTAAGTACAAAATTTTAATATTGCTACGTAATGACGACACGCATTTATAACTGTCGAGTTGTAATTTTGTAGCGGGTACTTAATAATGAAGACCCGGCTGGTTGTTGGGGAAGAGGTGGGGAGGGCGAGAGGTGACGAAACCGTGTGACAAAAAAAAAAACTATATTCGATTATGTAAGGTAGTGGTTCCCAACGTTTTTGTTATGGCGGCCTACACATTTATTCTTTTTTGGGTAAAAAAAAGTTGCCCTAGGATAATGGGGGTACATTTGACCAGCTGCTGTTGTAGGTGGGAATTCGGGAAGGTAGGATACAGAAGGGAATTTAACGGAAAACAGTAAGCAACGATGAACCATTGCTAACGAAAAAACGGTTCTGAACGGAGTTCAGTTGAAAGTGATGCTTTGCATACAGTATATATATATATATATCATATTATGGTAAAATAATTAAATAGGTATTATATATTTTTTGAATAATATTTGTTTGATATTGTACCGATTTTTCTGTTTTATTACATTTGCTTGGAAAACTCTTGGGAAAATTGAAAAATGACCTCCTTAAACTACCTTCCCAGTCGGATTTCTTTTCAGAAAAAGTGCTATCATTTTAAATTGGAGCAAAAGTTGTTCACAGGAAAAAAGAAGTCTGTAATATTTTTTTAACTAATACCTACATTTCGTACATTTTCAGTTTTTCTTCAGTTTTTTATTTTGTTCGGTTTTTCACATTTGCTTATTTTCTTATTATTCTTACTAAATATTTTTTATTTTTTCTGTTTTTTTATATTTTAATCAAAATATTTTTCTTTCATCACGACCCATCAAAAATATTTCACAACCCATATGTTGGGAAACACTGATGTAAAGTATACTTGGCCGGTTTTGTTGTAAGTCTGTGTAATAATTATAAAAATAATAATAATCAATATCTCAACACTCTTGAAAACGAACGAAAAAAATGAATAGTGCTCTACCACGGTTAAAACAGCTGATGGACCGTGACTAAAAACGAACGAGTGTATACAAAACGAAAATAAAATTATCGAAAAAGACCAGACGGTTCCGGTTACGTTTGTGTAACCAATATTTTTAAACCCGCACAAAGCCGCGTAATCCAATTCTCCACTCATCGAGAACAATATAACTAAACCGTCAATTACGGAACGGCAAGTATAATATTACCGTTTTAGATTCTGAACGCAGTGAGGAATGTATTGGTTTTAATATATGACGTTTAGTTGTTTTGTAATTCAGTTTAAAACATTGCTAGAGATTTGGAATTTTGACGAAAAGCTTGTATTTATTTTTTCTAGACCTAGTAAAATTTTAAAAAAAACATTTGAGCGATTTTTAAGCTATTTATAGGCATTTTATGTTTGCGAGTTTTTTATGTAGTTTTTAATTGATAAGTATACTATGTGAACACTAATGTTCGACTTAACAGAAATGCTTGAAAAACTAACGGGAGGTTCATTTTAAGGTGTAATTAGTAGAAAAAAGAAAAAGAAAATTAGAGTCTAAATAACGTAGTTATTTTTTTTTTATAACTGTTTTAAACTCAAATTTTGAAGAAAATCCTAAATATTATGGCCTTACAAATCACGTACTAACGAACTTCATTTAGAATCGTTTTTCGTTAGTAATGGTACATCCGATATCGTTGCTTACAGATATAAATTAAATGCATTTATATAGCTTACCTTACCAGTTCTCACCTACAACAGTGGCGAAATGCGTACCTATCAGCAATATCACCTTTCTCTCTTTTGGTTCTTCGCAATTTTTCCATCAGAAATCTTGTCCTGATCGAAAAAACGGCAAGAGAGTTTTTCGATAGTATACATACAGTCGTTGAAATTGATCAGATTGTTTTTCGATTTTTCTAATGTATTTCATATTAGCAACTGAGAAAGAAAAAATCGTCGGATAAAAGTGAAAATTATTTTTGATTTACTACTTTTACCGTTATTGGGTTACAAATAACCTTATACATCTGGAATACGTAAAAATAACCTTATGAACTATTTATAGGCGTTTTAATTAATGATTGACACACGGCATTTAGGGTCTTCATAAAGTTATAGCGGTGATAATGTAAAAGGAGTGACTTGGGTTTCGTTGCTGTTTTACCGTACAATCAATAATGCAACGTGTATTGTTTTTTAAAGAAACGCTTAGAAGAGCTCCGTGATTTGGTAGGTTGAATCACCATTAATTCCACTAGGTAGAGTGACACGACACTGTAGATCACAGAAAGTACGGCGGTACAAGACGATGTGATTTGGTCGGCCGATCGTCACACGGCATTGCTATACTTGACAGCCCGACAGTATTTCAGTCTGACGACACGTGCCGACGCACGAACTGCTAATGCGACGTCGGGTACCTGACAATATTATCCTGCCTCTATAGACTTTCATCGGTTCGTTAAACATTACGTTTCGGCCGTAATAACCTTTCGGGTTCCGGGAGACCGTTGATGAATATCGGTAACGTTGAAATTCTTTCCGGTGTAATAACAATTTGATAACACCGATATCATTCGACGGCATAGTATACGAACGTCGCTTTGTTAGGATTTCGCCAAGGCTACGCAATAATAATTACGCGCGCGCACGGCGATATCGATATTCGTGTGAACCGTGTCTGCGGTAAACGAAAAGCTCCGGCGGTGTACACCGCGTAGCTGTATAATGTGTGGTATAATATCCATTAGTGTGCGTGTTTACAAAATCAGAAAGGTCTCAGTTTCGAAAAAAAAAAAAAGAAGAAAAGATTAATAAGATATAATACAATATGGTTTGCACTGATTTACGTGGAAAGTCGGGAAAGCAGAGTCGATTTAGTGTGCGTTACGGCGAGAAACGATAAATCATCGCGAACAAAAGACGATTTCGCGAGGAGCCCGGCAAAACTTTCTTTTTTTTTTACCAATTATTTTGTATCTCACCAGTATGGAGCTCTCCACTTTTAAACTATTACGTAGTATAGTGAAGATTTTGATTAGAATTTTTTTTGTTGTTAGTTTTGTCGTCAAAATATTATGGTTTTCAAAGCCGACTTACCCCCGCGAATCAATAAAATATGAAAATTCAAAAATTTGAGTGTACAATACGGACGATGAAATGTTTGAATTCCAAAAAGAAAACGACACTAGAAAGATTACAACTAGGGAAAGTTAATGAACATAATATCAACTCGGGTTAAGTCGAATTAAATAAAAAAAAATTAAAAACTTACTACGCTACAAGTAAATTGTTTTTTTTTTAAATAACTTAATTAAGTAGAAAGTTAATTTGAAAATCTAATTGACTAAAAATAAAGCGAATTTATTTTTGTGCTTTGTAAAAATTTAAATAATTTGTGTTCAACGTGGGGTTTATGTTTCAGGAATAATAAATTATAATTATTTTCTAATAAGGAAACTTCACGCTCGTTATTGATTAAAAAAGAAAAGAAATATTATTTAAAGTAAATAAATGTAGTAAAAAAAATATATAAATAAAAAATGTATACTTAAAAATAAAATAAATAAACGAATCAATGCGTTACCTGGAATATATTTCTTCAAATAGTATTGCAGAAAATTTTAAAATTGTGTTGAAATTAAAAAATATCGAAACGTGATATGATTAAAAATTAAATCGTTATCATTGTTAAATTAATTTAAATGTAAATAAGTTAAGGAAATGAAAAATCAAAGGTAAAGTTTAATAAATTATAACTTTCCCATTCGTTAATGCTCAGTCCCGGACACGAGTACAGTTTTTATAGTGCTATTTTGACAAGGAGAAATTCTCTACGGTTTCAATATATTTTGTAATATATTTTAAATCATTTTTTTTTTTTGTTTAAACTTTAAATTGAAACCAACGAGTTTTTCCGAGCTCTACAAAAGCAATGAAATTTTATTAAATTCTTTAGTAGTCTGAAGAATCGCTATATACGACAAGGTTTTATCCGCTTTTAATATAATTTTATTTATATTGCTTACAATATTTGTTTTTTTTTATTTTTGTTAAGCAACTCCGTACCGTTATACAATAACATATTGTCCTTTCAGAGCAATAAAATAAATGAATAAAAACAAAACTAATCGACGCTAAGTTTTTCAACAGACCGCTTTCTTTGGCAAGTTATATTATTATTTGCCCGTAGTTCTCGTAAAAGAACAACCCACGCTGCCGGCGGGTCACACAAAAATCATTATTCGCGTTATTCTCTGGGAAACTGTCGTTAAAAACTATTATGCAAGAATATACGATTTGAAAAAAAAAAAAATATATAACACAACGCATGACAACTATGTCTCTACAATAAGGGCAGGTACGTACACTACCCAATTATAATTACATTTTTAAATTTTTTTCTCCCCTAAGCGATACTGTCGACAAAACAATAGCGACAATATATGAGTAGGCAGCGTACAAACAATATACGTACCTATATAATTATTATTATATAATGATATGACGACAAAAAAATACATAACAAAATGTACACCGCGCACGGGTAAGTCACTGTTGGAAGTGAGCGCAGTAGGAAATGTGATTGTTGCTAAATCGTTGCGAACGAAAAACGACACCCAGCGGATAGTATCATAATATAGGAATAGTCGTGCTTCCTAACCCCCCCCCCTCCCGGTAGTAGTTGCCCAGGACAAACTTGTTGAAGTCAATAAAAACAAGCATCGGGGGATGAACTTCTGAAAATCTCGATAAATGTCTCAAATAAAAGTACCACAGAACAGAAATTCCGCATATTCTGTGGTACTGCGTGGACAAAGTAGAGCGTTCGTCCAATCAAAAAAGTGTCAAAAAAAAAAAAAAAAAAAATCAACATAATAAGCAATTATTTAGAAAAATAATTAAGAATTCAGAAAAAAATACCATATAATAACAATAATATAAACGAAAAGTCTAAAAAAAATTATTTGTCATTGTACAAAATAAATAAATATGGAGAAAAAACTTTAACTGCAGTGAATAATCCGCGTATTGGTGAAAACGTACTCGACATTAAATTTTACAAGATTACACATTTATAAGTTGGTGGCTTGAGTATTAATTACCGCATCAGTATGTATAGTAGGTATTTTATTGCCAAGTGTTCCAGGGAAACGTCAAAAAACCGCTGTGAAATAAATATGATATTGGGGCGACGCGTGACGTAGGAATATTAATGGTTTCCCGCGACTATTTTAAATTAAAAGCGTAGCGAAAAACGTATTGGTTTTTATACGATGTGTGTTTATTTATTTTTCTGTTTCTGAAAAATTTTTCTACCAGAAAAATTATAATTGTAAACTTAAAAAAAAAAAAAAAAAAAAAACGCTATTTTGCAGTATTTCGGATATAGTCGGTGCATCGGAGAAGAGGTCATTTTTTGATTTTCCTTGTAGTTTTTCTAATAATTGGAAAAACCGGATAAAAAAGGTAGGAAAAAGGCGGACAAACTTCGCATGACGGGTGGGCCATTATTGTAGGTGAAAATTTGGGAAAGTAGGATATAGATATATAATATTGTGTAATTTCATACTGGTTTTGTTTTGTCTATATTCTGCACTATATTTAAATTAATGCCTGTTTTAACGTAAATAGATTAATAACAGAGAGGAATTTAATGTATGCATTTACTGTTACGGATAACTGTATGAAACGGAAAACCTCTGATAACAAAAAATGATTCGGAGCGCAATTTTCCCGTTTTTCCTACGTTTTCTCAAACTTTTACGAAAACCGCTTGGAAAATTAAAAAAAATGAGCTCTTTCGGAAAATTATCTTTCAGAAAAGATGCTATACTTGGTACATCAGAGTAAGATTTCTGGTTGGAAAGTTGCACGCAGAATACAAATTGTCGATTTTCCATTTTTGTCGTAGTTCGAGATCTGAAATTTTTTGCAGAATCTAAATTTTTCCAGATATTTCTAATATTCTAACGATTGTTTAGCTACCTATTTGTAACTGTAATTGAACATTTTCGAGTTTGCTTAGTTTTTATTTGGTTTCATGGTTGACCAAACAGAGATGTTTGAAAATTTAACACGATGTTCGGTATAAATTGTATTTCAATAAAAAAATTGAACTCAATTAGTAGTTTTTTGTATGAAATATTATTAAGTTAATTCATTGAAATTTTAATCGTGTTTGGTAATTTTACAAAATTACCTATTGTATCAATATCGCTATTAATTTATATCTATTGCCCAATTAATTATTATAATGTTATGCCAACTGTGTGGTAAATTGACGCTCCAGAAAATTTGGTGCCAGGAGCAGATGTTTGTTTAACAAATAGTTTGCGCTTTTTTTTACATAGATTTTACACCATATATTTTAGTCTTGTGTATATTATTGTCTATATTAATTGTATGGTGCGAACAAGGCTGGATTAAGGATCCAGTGAACCCTGGTGTCAAACTTGAAAACAAACCCTCCGTATAATCATTCTATGCACATTTTCATACTTCGAATAATCGTTGTAAATTAATAATGACACAATGAATATTTTAACATCCTGGGGGGCCGAGCTCGGTCGTGAGTTGTGTACTCGGTAACAAATGCGTACTTTTTTCTTTTTTTTTTTTTTTTTATGAACCTAGTATAGTATCGAATTATTTTTCTTGGGCCACGGGCCTTATGGATTTGCTATAACATTTTGTATATATAGTAATCACAATGCTCAAGCGCGATTTATGTTTGAAATAAGAATTATATTTCCCGTTTCTATACATGTGCACGTCATCATATCTTATGGCACGGGTGGCTGCTTGCCAAGAATCCGCCATAAGTTAATAAAATAACGTAACAACTTCGCGGATATCACTGGTTGGCGGTATTATTTTTATAATCGTTCGAAATCACTAAGTTTATTAATTCAATAATTATATTATTTCGCTGAACTAGATAAATTACGGTTTTCGCGTTTACTTGCTATTTGCTCGAAAGTTCTATTTTGCAACAATATAATATTTGTCTGTGAACCTAGTATGTATCACTAGGTAATTCTATATCATACAGAGTGATAGTGACCAATTATTTATCACGAACTGTGGATTTTCTCGGAGAATTTTCAGTGAATTTAATTTTTTTCAGTCATTGTGCTTTGTTTTAATATTATTTTCAATTTTCAACCCCACACTCATTACACCTACCTTAAATTTGTATACCCTTTTGATTTTCATATGGCGACTTTCTTTTACACACAAATTTGCATAGGAAACGCGTGACTAAAAACATGGGCGATGTGCTCAACATTTATATCGGATTTAATGTTATGGATTATATTAGTTTACAATTTTGACCGGAAGAGTGAAGCGAATGGTAATAAATTTAACTTTAACTTTTTTGGATAAGTAATTCATTTTTGATAGTAAACTATCGTTCCCTACATCTCCAGGCTATATTTTTAACTGTAGTTATAATTTATAACCTATAAATTCGATACTAATGTTACGTATTGTCAAAATGTGTAGACATATATTTTCTACTTAAATCTATGTTTAAAAGAGGATTCGTTATTTCAAAAATCAAAAGTCTTTAAAAATTCAGGTACAACGTACAACGGTAAAAATGTAATCCAATGTTCAAATGTAGCTTAAAAGATTCCATATTAATGATCGAAAAAACAAAAATCAAACTCGCTCACTCACTCTCCCAAGAAACTCGTTGGTTCATGATAAATAGATGTTTCTGTAGATTTTCATATTTTCTTCTATTTTACCTGTGTGTGGCCGTGTGCCAAGCGGACGTTATTAGCGTGTTGACGAGAATGTCCACCGGTATGATGTCCACGCGGAGCTTTTGGTCGCACACGATGCTTCTTATCGTACCTCGTCCGATTTCCATCATTATGCCCGTAATTCCGCTCATGTTGTCCACCCATCCTACAAACGGTTCCTTCCATGCGGCGGTCACTGCAAGCGCACATAAAAATATTAAAAATAAACAGGTATGAAACGTAACGTGTAAGGAGGTAAATGCGGTTGAGAATGATATGAGAACAGCCGGTATACGCGAAGAAGGAGATCGGGTCAAGTGGAAGTTTAGATCGAGGGGGGGGGCGGGACGACCCCGAATAGTTGGAACGAACAAGATGGTGAAAAAATTAATGAAATATAACCAGCAATAACAAACACTTTAAACATTTCAAATTTAGTTTATATTAAATAGAATAACCAAAACATTTGAAAACTAGGTATCACACATCTAGAGAATTACGCTAAAACATTGTAACATTTACCTACAATATGTATTCCGTGACATTTTCTTGGTTTAAGATCATATTATCTTACTTAATACTATAACAAATTCCGAAAAATGTTAACAAAAATCTCGGTAATGAATATATATCTATTCCATTTTCCCACCGTTATTAGAAAAATTACAGGCAGTTTAAAAATATAACCACCTTTCCCTTTTTATGCATCAACACTCCATTAGAAAGCTCCTATGAAATTTTCGATCAAAATAAGCGAAAACTAACATCAATTTCTCGATATGATCAAAATCCAAAACCTATTAAAGACAATCGTGGCTGTGAGATTTTTTCCAGAAAATCGTGCAAAAGAAACGAAACGGCATCATTTTACATTAGATATATATAATATTGAGAATGTTTCACTCTCAAAAGCATCGCAGTACTCATGCTGCTGACCGCGGATTCGGCTTTTTAAACATTATTGTGTAGGACATTTAAAATTAACATTTATAAAATGCGTGCTCGTGTGCAATCAACTGTTTATCAACTGGGCTAACGTGGAAAAAAAATACCTTCGTTTCGTTCCCGTCGTGATCGTTGAGTTGATTAAAGTCTCGCTAATAATTCAATTTCATACTTCCTGTTTTTTTTTTTTTTTTTTACGAACAAACTAGAGTACTAGAGAATTGTTTTGATCTCAATTAAACTTTTCGTATCCGTTTTTGTACGCCATGCATCCGTGTGTTGCGCATAATAGGAATATCGTGAATAACACTGGTAAATCTACTTTTTTTTCTCCGAGAGTTTTTGCTCGTAGACGACAAAAACAAAAATTACGGACGAAATAAATTATTAATTATAACGCGTTCAACTTTTTTAAAATTATTATTATTATAAATTTGTTTGAACTAGGTTATGCCAAAAGAAAAAATCCTAAACCAGCAATTATATATATGTAGGAACACGATTCGGTTAAATTGCAATATTTCCTGGTAAATATTTTAAATAAATAGGGTTAATGTTGTCAATCCATAGAGATCGCATATAGACACTTGAACTATATTATGTCGTAGTAAATTTTATCGTGACTTAACAATGACGGACTTAACCTCGTGAAATATTCATTTTCTGTATCGCCGTAGTAGTGAATTTTTTTTTTTTTTATATGAAAATAACGAAGGCAGTGTTTTCTCCAATTAAATGTGTACATTAATTGCATCGCGTGTTTTGTATGTAAGAGAAACAACTTATTCGAATAATAAACGCTGTTCGCCGAATAAAAATAACAGTATGTATCGCACGATCAAGTTGTACAACAAAAAAATAATAAAAAGGCCAGACGTATTAATGCTTAGAGAATACAGTGAATCCCCCATCTCATAATATTATAATACTTGTCATAAACAAAATATTAATAAATAACTATTTTCCTTTGTTCAAATTGTTTTTGCACAGTCTTATTATGCTTCTATACGCTTTCGTATAGTTAATAATATTAGTGTACATAATTTTTACTCCTTTTAATATTCTAAAAAATACCTTTGTTCAATTAGTTTTAGCGATCTTATAATTGAACAATGCGATATTATAAAATAAACAATGTTAAGAAAAAAAAATTGAAAAGAATTTATAATGTAATAAAATTAAAAAAAAGCTGTCCTAGGATAATGGAGACGGGTACATCTACTGTTGTAGGCGGGGAATTTAGAAGGTAAGGTATAGGAGGGAATTATGATATATATCTGTAAGCAACGATAAACCATTGCGTTTTTTTTCATTACGTGAATTTTCCCGTTTTTCTTCTGTTTTTCACATTTGATGAGAAAACTCTGAGAAAATCGAAAAATGACTTTCCTAAAGTACCAACCCAAAGAAAATTTCCTTTCAGAAAAGGGTGTACATTTTGTACATTGGAGTAAGCTTTCTGGTAGAAAAAGTATTCACATAGAAAAAAAAAACAAACTTTGTAAAACCAATACATTCATCGCTACACTCAGAATTTAAAAGACAGAAGGTAGGATATAGAGGAGAATTTAACGCATATTTGTACGCAACAGTTAAACATGAACATGGCTAACGAAAAACGATTCTAAGCGGAGTTTGGTTATACATAATTAAAAAAAACATAATATTTACGATTTTCGTCAACATTTGATATTAAAATTGCATAAAAAAAAAAAAAATTCTACATTCGATTATTTTTATTTTTTTTTTACCACAAAGTACGACTTACAATGAACCTCCTATTAAATTTTCAAGCATTTCTGTTTGATCAAATAATTATGTCTACAGAATACGTGCCAAATAAAAATCACAAATCACGTAGAAAACTTGCAAAATTCAAATGTCTATAAGTAGTTCAAAAATGGATAAAATATTTTGAACACGTCTATAAAAGGTAAATATTAATGTTCTGTTTATATTTCAAGTCTCTACGAATATTTTAAACTAAATCACAAAACAAAATTGAAAATAATACATTTTGTAAATTTTCCTACTTTTTCGGGTAATTCCTAATTATTATGAAGATCACTAGAAAAATCAAAGATTACCTGTTTAATTTATCACCCAGATAAAATTTTCTTTCAGAAACAGTGCTACACTTGAAGATCGGAGCATCGTTTTTGGTACAATATTTTTTCACAGACAAAAATAAGAAAAATAGAAAAAGAAAAAGCGCGCATATAATAGTAAAACCAATAAATTCCTGGCTACTCTCAGAATTTAGACTTAACATTACCTATGCTGGGCCGCACTATAGCCGCAGGTATGTCGTCGGCTTGTTCGGCGACTACCCATTCGGCCATGGCTTTGGTCATAGTGTAAGTGTTCGGGTGTCGGCCTTGCATCCTTTTGCCCATCACCTGCAGGTCGTCTTCCGACATCTTCTGGCAGCAGTTGATCACAAATTCTGGATCGCCGGGTGGTTTGTATACAGACTCTTGAATGGTTGGCTTATCGGCGTTAGAGTATGCCGTTGACACGTGAATCATAGCCTGTAAAAATAATTAAGTATTTCAAAGTTAAAATGGCACGCCAATGAAAATAATTAACTTGATGGAGTTTGTAGTTACATTAGTTATATATTTTATACTATATATTATTTATATATAGTTACACCGAATAACTATTTTTTGTTTAGCTTACAAATCTTCAATATTTATTGGTAGTAATTCATTATACTCGAAATTTGGAATTCAAGTTTTTTGTTGATAATAATTTAAGAAAAAGCAGCTCTAAAATTGTATATTTACATTATTTTTTGTCACTCTTATTTTTGGTGATAAAACGAATACCTACTTTTAATTTCCAAATTATAATCTATACTAAATATTTCATAAATAGTCGCAGCAACAGTTTAAATTAATTTTATGTTAATATTTTTGATTTCCATCAAGCCGTTGCACAGCGATCTGAGAATGAAATTTAGGTGGCAAAAATAGGCTGTTGAACATTTTCAAAAATTCAATTTAGTTTTTTTAGGATCTCTTCAATAGATGATGACTAGTGTAAATATGAAATTTCAGTTTCATAACTTTTTTTTGAACTGGAGTTATAGCTAAGTGAACTAAATGAATTTGGTTTTAAAATAAAAATAAAAAGTGGTTCAAAATTGAATAAAGATGGCGAAAAATCAACATGGTATTACAATTTACCAAAACAATTTATAAAAATATAGTTACGTATATTTAAAACAATTTTTTGTTCCGAGCGTTTTCATTGTGCAAAAAAAAAAAATAATACATTTTAATTACTATTTTTATAATATTTACGAATATCTCGTAATTTTATTGTCACTTTACAATATCTCAAAACTTTTTCTTATCCTCCTATTGCTACTTTAAAGTAACGGGCACTTACCGTTTATAAAAAATCTCCTAAACTACATCTAAGAACGTAATTTTCTATTACTAATAGAGCAGCAATGCTGTACGTACATCCAAAAATCTTTTTAAGTTTATCTTTTGATATTATTGAAATAATTACTGCTCAACAGTAATGGCGTATTATACAATTTATCATACTACTGATTGGGCACCCTACGTTAAAAATGTATATTACAAATATAGCAGTAGTGTCCGTAAATCTCTCTTCGACCAGTTGATTATTTTGCTTAAATTTTAAAAATTTAACATTTCGATATGTCCACTACGAAATTCTGTTAATTGTTATTGAACTGTTTTTATTCCATTAGCTATTATTTTAGATTCTATATTTTCGTTAAATCGAGAATGAAAAATGGATTTCATTTACGAACCAGCTGTTCCGTATTTTGGCACCTGAATGAATTATTTTCGGAAATTCTCAAAAGTTTTTATCGTTTCAAGTCCCCGCACTGTGTTTAGCATTTAATTTGACGTTATCATTGAAATTTAGGTACTAATTCATGACTTGTGAGTATAGAAAATATTATACAAGCTAAGACGACGTGCGACACTCGGAGTGTTTTAAAATAAGCAATCGCGCTGTTCGCAAAAAAAGACGGACATAACGGGGGGGGACCACTGTCGAGAAGTTGGGAGGGTAGAGTATTGAGGGGAATTTAATTTATATCCGTACGCAACGATAAGCCATTCAGTTAATGAAAAACTATTCGATACATTTTTCAGACTTTCCCGGTTATTACGAAAACCGCAAAAACCGCTTTACTTTCTCGAGAAAGTAATTTATTTTTATAAAACTAGAAGAATACCTATTTCAGACGAGTCGCTAATTTACTTGCAGAAAAATAAAAGTTGTATACTAGTATACCACGCATGCGATTGTACGCGATCGTATATTTCTCGTTGGTAATACTAAATATTTCATTATAAATTGTCACTTTTTAAAAACGTGTTTGTGTTTTTGGTTATAAGTATTGGAATGCGAGAAAAACCGATTGTCCTTTAATGTTTTATAACTCACGAGCCGCGCATAGTTTCGTACAATCGTCTACGCACGTAGTTCTGTAATATTACGAATTTCAAATCTCAATTCAATACTGTCGTATATGCAAGGATATTTCTTGGAAGTATATGGCAAGAAAACAAAACTAGGTCAAGATTCTCGGTTCTTAATGTTTCAACGTCAACAATTTTACACTGGAACTACATAAATGGCTTTACTGACAGGACGGTCAGGGGAATGTTACTCCCTCGTGCGCCGCGGCGCTCAAACACCAATTCCCTTATCCCAGCTCTTATTCCAGTTTACACTTCTACTATTGCTCGTAGTTGAGTATATAGGTGTAAATACCCCCGGTAACTACTACAGAACGCCAGGTAACCTCGTAAAACCGTGTTACTGTTTAAACACGCACAAGTAATTAAACACTAACGAGTTTTCCAAAATATCCTTTATTTGGACTGGCTGTGCTCGTTCTCCGGACCTTGCACCCGAAGTCTCGAAAAATAGTGATCTTTTCAATAGTATATTAATACATATTATAGTTTTATTTATTCATAATACAAAATCAAATAAAGGCCTTAAACATTCGAAAAATCCAAACATCTGAAAAAAAAAACTGAAAAGTTGACAAAATGTTTTGAAAATTGTACCGAGGTTCGAAAAAGCTAAACAGGTCTATTTTGGAATCTATAATTATTTTTTACTGGAATAAAACAAAAAAAATGAAATATTACAGATGGTTTTCTCAATTTTTCCATATGATTGAGAGTGGGTACAATTATAAATAAAATAAAAGGGCTGATACTGTGGACGGGTGTGCCTATGTTGTAGGTAGAAAGTTGGAAAGGTAGGATACATAAAGTTATTTAAATCATATCTGCAAGCAACGATAAGCCATTGATATCGAAAAACTCTTATAAAAAAAAAAAATATTACATTACATTCAAATATTTTTTTCAACTACTAAGTACAATTTATAATGAACTTTCTGTTAAATTTTGAAACATTTCTGGTAAGAATATAAATTTAAAATAATGAAATCATAACGCCGTAAATTTCCAGATTATTATGAAAAATTAAAAAATTATTTATGTCGTGAGTATCTAGATCCGAAATTCAGTAAACACGTTTTTATCAGTAGTTTTTGATTAAATTAATATTTCTATTAGATTGATTAATAGAATATTCTATTAGAAACTAATTATCCTTAAAGTTAATAATCTGGGTGAAATTTTTGGTAGGAACGTTGTTGACAGACAGAAAAAAAAGAAAACGATACTTTATAGTAAATCTATCAATATATCGCAATAGAATATAAAATAAATGTATATGTAAGCAATAATTTAGTTTTCAATAGTGTTATTAAAAGTAGGGTATGTTTTTTTTTTGTACATTTTTAACAAATAGAAAGAAAAATATAAAAATTAAAGATAAAAGAAGATAAAAAAAGATAAAAATTGATATAAGATGGATATACTCGTACAAGGCGAAGCGCCTCATGGATTATATTGAATTAAATTATTGCAAGAAACGCTCATTTTCTAAAGTCTCTCTTATTTTATTTTTACGATTCGAGCAGTGATGATGTAAATTACTTAAAAAAAATTATTATACAAATTAATAAAAATCAATACATTGGTACACGTTATATACAATATAAAATAATTTCTAAATTTAATGTCTCCCTCCTTACTAAATACTAAATAGGCCACTAGATCTTAATAGGCGACAAGAAAAGTCGAATAATTGAAAAATAAAAGTACGCTTTCTGTAGTAATTTAGAAAACTTATCAACTGCAGGTTTAGGTATTCAGTATATCAATCGTCAATTATTTAATTTTACATACACTTTTTGTTGTCGGTATAAAGTATTTAAATTAATTCATTTTCTTTTTTAGCAAGGTCGTTACGAAATTAAGTAAGAGACAATTAATGGTGGATTATTGGAAAATCGTCGCAGAGCAAATATTTAGGAATGAAAGAAGCACGCTTCTTCTATAAACGCTTTCATAATCGTTTTCAAACACATTCTCATGAAAAACCTCACCGTATGCAAAAAATAAATCGATATCCTGACATTCTGGAAAATTAATTTTATTCTCTAACTACTTATATATTAAATTAAAAATACTATTTTATATTTTTAAAATATATAAACATATTAAAAAATGTCAGTTTAGTGTCACTAATGAATGACTGCTTTTTTTAACTTCTTCGTGTATCTTAATAAGATATACATTTACTATGCACTTTTATAGACTGTATAATATCCTAATGATAATAAATAACCATTAACTATGTGTGTAAGTACTAAACAAAAAAATAATAAACTTGCTTTAAAATCATTTATTATTAATTTATTTGTGTTGGAAAAAATTTCCTAAATTTATAATGTCTCTTTTACTCTGTAAAAATAATTTGACGTGGTTTCAAATGGGAGAATGAGGGCCAAAAATTCGTAGTTTTAAAATTAGTAGGTACCTACACCCAGAATTTTCATAATACTGTAACGTTTAAATTTCGCTATATATTTTGAGGATTGTACAAAAGTATTCTGCAAATGCCAAATTGTTGATATTGTTAAATGTGTATACAAATTTAGTTAATGATTTTGACACAACCGAGTTGGATCCTACGATAAAAATTCCCAACCATCCGAAACATCTGCACTACATTTGGGTCCCTGGTTTATAAAGGTAGTGCAATAGCTTAGTCCCGGGTTCCCACAGGTAGTACTAGTCGATAGATACCATAATATTAATAATAATTACAATATTTTGAAAGTTTAGAAAAATAAAATACAATATTCATTCTAATTTTAATATCCACCAGTTTATATAGTACCCAAATAGAAAACTGCACTAAAATGAAAGACAAAAAACCGAAAGAATTGTATTTTTCAAAAATAAAACTGCATTAAGAATAAAATTACAGAAAAATCACTGGCAAAATAGTTTTTAAATGTAATAAGTCTGTAAAAACGACAAGAAAAATGTTTTGTATTACATTTAATCGTTCAGACCCAACTAGCATATAACCTACCGAAAATCGATAACCAACAATTAAAGCACATAAAATTCATTGGGACCCAACTATTGTACTACCTATTAAAACCACTAGTGATCAAACTCGATTGTGGTCAATGATTTTATTGATAATGGGTGAGGGGAGGGTTGGAAACCTCTCACGTTTTACTATAGTTTATAGTTTTAGCATCGCCAATATTTTATTTTCTTTATACAGATTCATGGGTAAAAATAATTGACAATTCACTCCTGTTAATTTCAGGTACTGACTAATTCGAACTTCAGAAAATGTATTATTTTACACAACATTGGACGTTATAAGTTCAAACATAATTTTTAATAAATCAAAAATTCTAATGATTAAATAGTTTTTAGTTTAAATAAGTATATATTTTTATTCGCATATATTTCGTACATTGCTTTTCTTTGAGAGCTTTTTCCCGTTATACGTAGTTTACTGCCTCGAAGAAAATCAATCGAATAATATTTTCCGAAATATACCTACGTCTGTTTCATACAAAACGTTTGAAATATACGTTGAGGCTATACCAAAAATACAGGATTGTGTACAGTACGTGCTGCCAGTTTCAGTTTATTTGTAACATGCCGTGAAAATTATTTTGTGTTTGCTTGGCTCTCCTTTGATCAACCGGAAAATAATCGTACAAATACGTAATATTGGAACCCGGACCGATTCGAAGTAATAACCAATCATAAGCCGCAAACAAAATATTACCATATACGAATAAAACCTCCATGCAGCAAAGGAAATTTTGAAGCGAGTCCCTACTTTCCCTACCATTAACTTAACCTACCTTTTTTTTACATTTTGGCGAAACACGCGCGCGCAAATTCGTCTGTGGGGAATTCGCCGGGAAAATAAATAAAAACAACGGGCGTGCTTAAAATAAATATCATATTGCGTTTTTGTACGGAGAAGTAATGTCGATTTACACAATAACAGTAAATTTCCAAAATATTATTTCGAATGCAATTTAATGTTATTCATCGTCGTCGTCGAGTTTAATGATATTTAAAAGAAAATCGCCACCCGTCGGCCGACCCGTTCCGTCCACCGCCTTATTAAGAGTACGTTATATACCGGGATTTACCGTTTTAATTATACAGCAAAAATAGGTATTATAGAAAATATTATGTTTTAGCGAAAAAAATGTATTTTCGTGGTTCCAATATATTACCCACGGGTCCTAACTTAATAAAAACAAAATTGATTTCATCAAGTTTGAGACCACGAAATTCAATATATTGTTTAATAGAGGGATTTTTTTCTGATTCCCAGGCAGTCTATTTGTACTAGAAAATAATAATAATAATAATAAAAAATCCCCCCTGTGAAAACATAGTGAATGATTACATCTTTAATTCGGCGATCATCTCCTCTCCGGATTGAATACATTTCGATTGTGGCCATTTGTAAGCGTTACAGGACCGATGTGATTATTCAGCAATTTTCTGAAGTACGTACTATTACATTTCGAAAGCGTCCAATTTAATTTGTTCAACTGAACAATTTTTCAGGTTTTCGCAACCAAACAGTGTGGATTATGCCTCACACATAGAACTTTGAGAATGTGTCCCTTACATTGACGCTATCAGTGATAAATAGATAGTTTTTGTTTTGAGAGGCCTCGTATCGCCTATCCAATCCTACGGAATATATTGATTTTGCTAAATAAACCTGTAGGTGTAGGAAGCATTACACTTATTTTGTTTGCTCGTCAATATAATATTTACCAATAACCAAACCGGACGCACGCGCCCATACCTACTATTATTATTAAATTATATGTAAATACCTTGAGTTTAATCATCCCCCGGCAAAGGTCGACGACGCGCCTCGTGCCCAGCGTGTTTAGCGTAACGGCAGTGCGGAGTGTCTCGTTGAACTTTACGGTGGCCGCAGAGTGAAATACGACCGTCACCTCCTCACTTAGTCTTTGCTTGTCCTCCGGGCTCAGGCCCAAGCCGGGATCAGACACGTCACCGCTGATACACACAATTTTGGCAAACACCTTATCCGCGTCCATTTCCGATCTTAACCGGTCGAAAACCTGCGAAAAATAAAAAACGCCACACGTTAAGTTTGATGGGGGAAAAAAAAAAAGTAGTGATGTAGTAGCACGTGTGAAGCTAACCACTCATTGACGTGTGGTGAAGGGGTGCCATCGTTTCTGGGGAGGGTTATCCGTCACTACGCATGTTTAATATATGTTTTATATTAAAAGTTCACCACTCCGTCAATGTAAAAAAACGTGTTTTTTGATTTCCGGTTTATATAGTCAAAATTATCGTTTATTATGCTTTCTGCTGCACAGTTATTAATACTTACAGAAAAGGTTTTCATTATAGTTTGCGTAGTAGGTAAAAATTACAAAAAAATAAAATAAAATAAAAATACGTTTAATATATAATTATTTATTATTCTACTCTTCGTGAAGTCGACGACTGACGTGTGTTTGTTATTTGAAAAAGCAATAACTGCAAACATATCCGGTTCAAAAAAAAAAAAAAATAAAAAATACTAGGGGGGACGAGGAATGATAGTGACTTGCATGCGAATATAATAAATACATATATTGTGTTTGTCCGTAATATTAGAAGGGAATTATTTCAACGGAAACGTCGGTTAATCGAAGAGCGAAGAGACTACAATATTATTATTTTGATCATATATATATATAATATTATTATTTTTTTTTTCATTGAGGAACAATAATATTATGTTCAACAATCGTGCTCGAAAAATGTGTGTCACGAACTACAGACATCATCCCAAATAAAGCTAGGGAAATGAAATTTTTTTTAATATGTATATTCGGAGTAGCTTTGGCTGGTTTCGACACTAAGACCTCATTTTTACTATTTTAACGCTAAATTTTACATTTATTTCTTATTTTGAGTCGTATTTCAATAACATAACATTCGGTTATTTATTGTTTTTCAACGAATATTTTTATCATACAAAATAAGAGGGTAATTCGATTCGAGTGACAGTGCTATGCTGTTCACTGATATTACTTCTAAAATACACATACACAAATATTTCAAAAAACGCCGACTAGGTGGTCACGGAAATATGTTGTTTTGTATTGATAAATAAATATTATTCCATTGAACTACTGTAAAACCGCTGTTATTAAGGCTTTTTCTACGTCGTTTTACGTGAACCGAAATAATTTGTTATAACAAAAATCATCGATAACAGTGTTCGTCTAGAGCCAATGATGAATGAATTCAATAGCATTTATTTTATTAAAATACGAAACATTTCGATAATATTTGATAGCATTATGTATCTAGACAAGGTTACGTGGTATCTTTGATACAATTATATATTAATAGTATCTAATATTCAGTTCTCGGTTTTGGAAAGCATTGAATGTCTTGTAATACGGAAATCACTGTATAAAAAATGTAAATACTAATTTTTAAGTAAAATGCCCGTTGATGGGTAGGCAAAATCTTGGTCAATCCCTTCCCTGGATTTTCGATAAACACATACAAATTGAAAACGATTATACGAAAACAAAGAGAATTGTTGGAGATTCCGAAAAAATAAATAACCAACGTATCTTTTAAGATATCTACTACAGAGTGCGTGGACAATTTATCCTAATATATCCTAATTGTAATTATTATCCAATATTTATCCAGTGTCTTGAATTGCAATATTATACTCGTATACGTTCATAATGTGTATTGTATTTAAATACCGAAAGTTAATGTATCCTGCAGTCTACGGATATTTGAAGTGTCTTGCCCGGACAACGCAGTAGTTGAATATCGGGCGATTTCTTTATTTGCCGGTATCAATTCGGTGGGTGCGATGAGGGAATTTGTTTTCAATAAAACGTATAGATATTCAATGAAAAAAAAAAAATAAATAATAATCCGATTCAGAAAAAGATTTTCTTTTCGCCGTATTGTTACCGGTGACCGGAGATCCGCATCTGATTGTATAATAAACAAACAAATTACAATATAAACACAATACGCACAATAAACAAAAATCACGAGCTAATCCGAACAAACCTTTTTGTTCGTTATTTTTTTCCTCTTGTTTACGGTACTTTTTTTTATTATACCTATTTTGTATTATTGTTATTTTTTTTATCGAGTAATAATATTACATACTCGTATTAATATTCGCTGTCCAAACCATTGTACAATTATAAATCATATTAAAATATATTATTTAGTAACGGGTATATCGATTGTTTTTTTTTTTTTTTTACTTCGCCATCATTTCTAACACCTATATTTCATAAAATGTATTTATTGCATTTTTACGGTACGTAATAAATAATCCGACGACAATTATAATTTAAAACTGTTTTTTAGACCGAGCGCAGTTAGGAATGCGTTGTATTTTACTAGGATATTGTGTGCTTTTTTTTTTTTTTCTGATTGTTAATACATTTTCTACCAGAAATTACGTACGTTTATCTTTGTTTGGATAAAATTTTAACATTGTTTCTGCTGTCAAAATTCTAGTAATTTCTTTAATTAATCATTTCTCAATACTACGAATTAAAGTGTCAAGCATACAATACAGTGTATTAACTGGGATTTCATTTTTTTTTTTTTTTTTTGATCATTTTTATTAAACTGAATTTTGTTTGTTTTCATCTATACACAAAGGTAATTTTCCAGGACTCATTTATGATATGTTTACTGAATGTTCTTTACATACTTATGAAACTTTATCATTATTCTCATTGTAAAAAGAACATTCTAATTTCATTTATTTTATTGCTATTAATTTTTTAATAACAAATATAATAATATTAAGAAACTTATGATAATATTCTCAGTTAAATAAAAGCTATTGTTGTTATACCAGAAACAATGCATTTTTTTTTCATGATTTTAATGAACTTTTTACTTATTTTCTTAAATTATATATTTACATATATTTTGTAAATGTCCATTTAATATTACGTACGCCTTAACTTTAATGCGGGGTGAAATTAGCCTGGGCCAATAAGGCCCAGTTGGCCAAGTTTGTAGTTCAGATTATGGCGATAATCGACAAAAGTACACGTCCGCGTTCTAGTTTTCATTTATTATGGATAGTCCACAAGCTGATGAATATCTGGTGAACACAGGGTTTGTGTTATGACTATAGTTTTCTAATAATAATTTTAATTAATCTATATGAAAACGAGACAGACGTCTGAGTTTCTGTCGTAACGAATTTCGGCATTATTAGAAACCGAACTTTGTGCACATCACTGTACACGAATTGCATACATAAAACGCCGTGCTCTGAGATTTCGTAGTCTAACCGGGCGTTTGAATATTATTGTCGGTAAATTTTAAATACGGAATTACCACCGGGCATTCGAATAAAACGCGTATATTAGTTTGATAAATATACTATTGTGCGTAATTTATATTATACATCGATGACGTTTCAACCGAATAAGTCGATAATCGTATGCATTTCAGTAAAATATTGCCGAGCGGGTAATAAAACGATATCACGGTCAAATATTAGTTGCTGGTTTGCCGATTCCACGACCGTTCTGCATATTTACAAATGCTCGTCTGTGTCGGAATGTCACGCGTGGGACTTTATGCCTTCCACGCGACAAAACACTGCGCTGCCTTACGCGTAAATATGTTAATCGAAATATGAATTATTTAGCTCCGACTCTATGCGTAAAATAACGTTCTCCTTGTTGCAATCATACAAGTGTACACCCGACAAATAGTCTGTAGGCAATACGAACGAACAACGACGAACAATCGAACGTCAACAACTACGAAATAAACGGGAAAAACCTGAGTACATATATATATATGAAAAAAAATTGTAACAAATGCCGTAATTTTTTTTTTTTTTTTTTTGACGGGTGATTATTTCGTGATATAAATAGTTTCAGATTAAAATTGTTCATTGAGCTTTTAACCGAACAATCGAGTATCGTTTTTATTGTATAAATAATAATTGTATGCAGCGGCGCACCTTGGTCAAATTTTACAGCATCACTATCCAATGTTTAAACACAGTTCGAAATGTATGTAATATACGGGAATGCTCGTATATGTGTATACAATTTATCATTGCAATACAATATTTATTTATTTTCAGAAGACGATAATATCATTATCATATTTTTTTTACTCGAATAAATGAATAAATCAAATCAATAAATGACCAAAACAAAGTCGTTCATGTTCGTCTAATAATTATCGGACGCATTCTTTCCAGACACTTTTTATAATATATATATATATATGTATAACAGACACTGATATATTTATTTATATTTATATTGTGGAGAGTGTTTTTTTTTTTTTTAAATACCTAGTGTAGTTTTAGTACCTGATAATATAGTATAATATTGCATTTATTATAGTATTCGGTTATTTATTGTTTTGAAAAGAATATATCACATAATACAAAATATACGGGGACAAATCAATACAATGTGATGGAGTTCTGCGGCACGTGGGTTCTTTTTAGTTATCAAAACATAAATTGTATACATTTTGATGTATTTTTAAACAAACACCAGAGGATATTTTGTTTTTAATGAATATGAAATGAGTGCTTTTGCAGTGGACGAATTTAAGTATGCATACTTATTTGATTGGATTTTAATTGGCATATAAATTATCTTTCTAATATTTTGATTATTTATTATACGGCGGGGCGATTTCATTTTATTATACTGTTTATGCAAATGTTAAATAATATGAGCAGTATTAAAGTTTCAACAATGTTGTATATTTTTTTTTATTTTTGCTTTCGTTTCACGCCAATAATGACCGAGGCCACCTGGAGAGCTTTAGAGATCTGGACCCAATAGTTTTTAGAAAGAACGCCGTTAAATTGATTAAAATAGTTAACTACTTATTATTAACTACTTTTGGTAAAAACATAAACCGTATACAGTTTTTAACGATTTAAATTTTTCAGTTTCTTTTTACGTTTTTTCTAGGTTTTAATAAATTATAGAGAAAACTTATACAACTTATTAAACCCCTTCTTACAGATGTGATTAAATATCCACTTATATACACTATTCCATTTTGAATTTTCGAACCCAGTCTGTACGATCGTCAAAAGATATTATGGTTTTCCAATTTTATGATTTTACTCGCAAAATATTGTATTATTAATTCTGGAAACAAAGATGTGATGTGAAAAACCGTGCAAGGCTTTAGGAATTTTTTTAAAAATTAGACCCCGATGACCAAAAATAAGAACTGCACGAGACCACCGGTTGGTATTCATTTCGGTGTGTAATCAAATAGCGTGTCAACTGCGACGACAACCGCGGCGGTGTGAATGGAAAGTGTGGTCAACTACAAGGTCGATACAATACGGTATTATAAAATAATATAATATATTAGTAAATTATACACATATTGGTAATGAACATGTTGCATTTATCCCGGTCAATATCAGTAATAGATTTGAGAGCTTACTGGTGACTTTTTTTTTTTTTTTGAAATTGTTACTTGAATTGTATATACACACTCAACGATGATACTGGTTGTGGGGAGAGGTGTGAAAGGGGATCCAGTTGTGTACGTTTATTGAACATATAAAACACGAGTACATAGTACCCGCGTTAAACAAATTTTAGACCCCCCTCCTTCTGAAATTAGTTGACCTATTAGTTTATATTACCCACCCCTTTAAGCGAACTTCAAATCGTGTTATTAAAGTGTTTGTGCCGAATTTTCGAGCGACACACGACAGAAATATAACTGAAAACTAAATTATGGCAATTATACGAAACCGTAAAATTTAATACCGTTGAATTTATTGTGTTTCTGTCGAAAAAATATGTGTTACATACTTTATTACAAAACACAACACATACGAGACCAAATAAAGACGGTAACAAATATCCCTACCTCTCTCCCCTCAACAACAACAAAAAAAAAAATATATATATATATATAAAAAATTGGCAGTCAGATGGTCATAATTTTTAATCCGCGCATAAAGCGACGGTACAACTACGCGCCCTCCATTAGCCCTAGACTATTCAGGAGGCGCGGTGGTTCGGGGAAGCCCCGGACGTATGCCAATACATCGAAAAGCGCGATTCCGGCTACCGCTTCCCAATTAACTTTCCGCCTTATCGCGGGTTCAGTAGCCGTCAGGTGGATAGCCCCGGGCTATTCAACCACTGCCCGACGAAACGCGTAAGCCCGTCCGACTCCAACCGCGAGGCGCCGACCGCGGCACAAAACCGCGGCCGACACCCGGGTCTCCGTTCAGCTCCGAGAACGGGTCGACGCCGAGGCCCCGGAGACCGCCCTGACTACTTTTTCAATAAACGTCAAAAGTTGGACACATCTCGACACCCAGCCACCGACGGAGCGGATGGTCAGTCCGCATCGGAGACAGTCGAGGGAGTAGAGTATTTTCAGCTCCCCTCCACCTACAGAACCCACAAATTAAATTGGGCGTTAAAATTTTGTACACGCATAACTATTAAACCCCAACCGTTTTTTATGCTCAAATCATATGTTATCACGTGAAATACCGAGTCATTTACCTCTACAGAATAAAATACAATAAAACGCTGACAACCATACTGTTACTAAATCAATTATATATATATAAAAAAAAAGAAATCAAAAAAATATTGCAACGGTGACAAGTCGGCCGGGGGAAAATTCGACTCTAGTGATGGATCTCTGCAGTTTTTTTTTATTATTTTTAAATTAACTCCGAAAAAAAAAAAAAAAAAAAAAATATAAACATTTTAAAAATATCGAATATTGAAGCCGAGAGGTGTGTTTGGTTTTATATCCCGTTCGAGTTTTTGTGTACATATACGATGTAGGTGTATAGGCAATATCGTAAAAGTGGTGGGTTTTTATCGTACTTTTTTCGTGTTATACGAAACGGTAACGTGACAGACTGTTCGTGATAGTATTAGGTATGTATCTACAATAGTTATATCTTTTAGCCGGAAAGCACTTTGCATGGATCAGAAGGTTACAAAAAAAAAAAAAAAAAAAAAAAATCGACTGCCATCGAAATATTGATCACTTGCGCAGCTGCGATGACAATAGTGCAACGTATAGTATTGTATCGTTTGCGCTGTCATATTACTATATATTTTTTCCAGCCATTTTATATGATAATCGGTTTATAGACGTTTTATCAAATAACCAATTATGACAAAAAACTGTCGATTATTATTAAAGTTCGCACAATGAAATTTCATATTTCTACTGATTTTCGTATTTTACAATTTTTTTAAGCGTTTTTTCTATACAAATTGAAAAAAAAAAACACCCTTAATAATTAATATAAAAATATTCGATTTCATCTCGGTCTCACAATGATAATTTTCGATTAATTTTCATTCGGACAATTTCGGTATTTATGGCTCGTGGGTGGGTCTTGATAGTAGCTATAGCGTATACTAATAATATTTTTTTGATAAAATATTGTTTCAATAAACAATTTTATTATGTAACCCGAACCTCGAATTATGAAACCGTATTTGTTTTAAGGATTTTGAGAGGAATGTATTGATTTTAATATAACGTGCAAGATATTTATTTTTTTTGTCTGTGAACGACATTTCTACAAGTAATCTTACTCCAATCAAAAAAATTACAACAGACCTTTTTTGTTCCTTTTATTATATTGGGTTTTTTTAATCGGTTTTTATAATAATTGGAAGTGGGACAATTGGGAAACGAAAAAAAAAAAAAACGTATACGACGCCGCGGTGTTACGATTTCATTATTTAAAATTTTTTTTTTTATAATTCGGTTAAAAATATAATGCATAATATAACGCAGTTATCACAGAATACTTATATTACTTAGCATTTTCTAGACGTGACCAAATGTTCAAATCATTTTAATGATTTGTTTAGTTATTTATAGACATTTATTATTTTCGAGTTTTTAGTTTTTATTCGTTAGTAGTATTTATATTTTTATAAGCGATTTAACATCATATTTTGACGAAAATCGTCTCACGGCATATTTTCAAACCGTGATAACCAAACTTCACTCAGAATCGTTTTCGGTTACCAATTATTTATCGTCGTTCACAGATATAAATCGAAAAACTTAACGTCGTTTACATCCTTTTTTTTTACAATTATTTTATTTTTTTAAATATCGTATTTAACTTTGAGCATAACTAATATAATATAATATTTTATCATTTTTATTGAACATTTTGCACAATACAATCCATTTCATCTCCGGTACCGATAATTGAATACGTGCAGTTGTTAATGTTACTGTCTGCAATCTGCGTTAATATCATGAAGGGGTTTTTTTTTCTAGGGTTATACAATAATAATTTCACAGTCCTGATTTACAGCAGTTCGATAAATGATAATAACGACTGCGATTCGATTGTTCGACGTGTTATTGTGTGAACATGCGACTTTTCTACCGTTCGAATTTTACACCTAATTTTTTTTTTTTAAATATCTTTATAAAACTGTAATATCATGTTTAGAAAAATGCTGATGTTAGGGCTTGTTACGATTATTTCTTAGCGAATAATAAAAAAAAAAAAAAAAAATCGATTTTGTTTATATTTTCAAAGTATTATCTCCTAATTACATCATCCGCTACATTTTCTATTTCAGAAACCTACAAGAAAACGTTGACGATTGGAGAAAGTATTCTACAGATCGAAACCGCGTTACTATCGTGAATTATTTCCTGCGTAGAAAAGACGACCAATTCGAATTATTTTTGTCAAAATTATAATTTCACCACTAAAAGAACAGGAGGATATGATTATATGATTATATTTTCGTCTCGGTCGTTTATCTACCGTAATGCACGATGAAAAATCCAATCACTCATTAAATCTTTTTAATCTCCGGTCCAGACGAGCCAGGAAAGCCGAGAAAGAGATGACGATAATTTAACATAGTTTTTATATTACAAGTACTTGTGAAAAATAACATAATGGAGTTTTTTTTTATCGCCACGATTTTTTCGAGGCGATTGATGATTTTGAAGGCAGTCCGACACTATATGTGTATACTATTGTTGATGCGAGATTAAAACACAATGTTAATAAAAATTCTATTTATATGCTTATTGAATTTACTGAACCGAAAAGCCGATAAGTTCGTATATTGTACGTTCACAATGATTTGTTGTGGATCAGTTTTTCATTTTTATTTTTTTTTTATGTATAGTATAATGACCAGGCAATCGGAGGGTTTAAGGTTTATAGCAAAGGGATGAACGTCTTGTGCGGCTGGACGCATTTTACTCATCGATTTTAATATTATAATATGTACTTACCATATTTGTATTTTTCATCATTCGATTTAAATATTTGCAGACAATTTTTGTACCGTTGCTAATAAAGAACGCTACATCCGCCTACCCGAATTTGAATCTTCGTAGAAATTCGTTAAATGAAATCATTTAAAAAAATTACGGTAAATTTATATTGCAATAATTATTGACTGTTGTTTATAAGCGTTTCACAAAAATGTAACTAAACGGCCTAACCCACATCATTGATTTACTCGGTTTGTCAGAACCCAGAAGATAATATTTACGAAGGCAGTCTTTATTTTTGATATTTTAAAATATTATAAAAAAGTTACTACTGTTAAAAAAAAAAAAAAAACTAACGCGGCTGTAACTTATTCGTTTGTTAAAATTTTAGAAAAACGGCAACGGGAACCGGCCTCGAAAATAATTTTTCTCTCCGGTGTTTAAATTTCTATTTTAAATTTGATATTTTACGTAACGTAATTTTGTTATGTCCCCCGTTATTTAAATTACAGACCTCGACCGAGGCAGTAACACGTTCGGATATGCCGTCCCCATAATGGAAACTGAATTTCAGTAACAGGAAACGATTAAAACTAATCGAAAAACGAAAATAACACGCTATATGTTAATCTGATTATATCATCATCCGGGTTATAATATTTCAATTATAATATTATGATTATATTGCAGATGAGGTTTTTTTTTTTTAAACGTTCGATAAACGGCGCATTTTGCGGTCATTGTGTTTGTTAAGAACTTACAAATATTTGAATGGTAAACAAAGAAAAAAAAAAATAATAAAACGATGATTCACCTCCGACTTTCACTGAACGCGCATTATGTTTGTGTATTAGGGTTGGGCGGGGGAAAGGGGGACATGTATTGACATTGTCTAAAACAAAAAATTTTAAAAACACGTGACGATATCACAAAATCTGTTGTAGACGTTATAATACCTGATAATTTACAGATTACGGATGCGGTTTTACCGGTACGGTTTTCTTTCTATTTCCGCGTGTGTCTGTCGCGCAGTGGCGAAACGCTATAATACAGACATCAAATATTGGGAGATTTGAGCGTATGTCGTACTGTTAATGTGACTCGCCGAGGGCATCGTCCTTCATACCCCCCCGGCATATTTGATTATATCCTTAGTGAATCGAGCCAATTGCAATACGTTATACACATAGAACTATGGTTTTTACTTCGTTTTCGTCGATCGCCAAACGCTGTTAAAGCTTCAAATCTGGCACGGTTGCTTGATAAATCCCGAACATTGCCGTTGTCGGGTATCATTAATATCAGTTTTTTTTTTTTTTTTTTTTTAAAAAAAACAAACTGTTCAAAAATTATGACATAAAAATCTAAAATGTACACCAAAGTATATGGGAGAAGTACTACTACTACTGATTTCGTGAATGGGAGAATGGGGGAATGGGGGAATGGGTGAATGGGAGGAGGAGGAGGAGGAGGAGGAGGTTAGCGGTCATATCCGCGTTTATCGGCTTAGGAACACTACCGCTATGAGCGTATTTATTGGGCAATGCAATATTGGAGTAACGTTATAGTTATACGCGGCGAGTGGCACGGAACGGGTCGTTTTATTGGTATAAAAGTCGGCCATTTTCGTCCGGTTTTAATCGCACGTCGTGGTCGCCTCCGCCGTCCTACGCACAGCGAACATGTTGGCGTTCGGCGGACCGCCGGCACGCGGCAATACTACGGCCGCAGCGCCCGCCGAATCCGCCGCCGCGTTATACCGCCGCGTCGCGTCCGCCGCATCAGCAGAACGGATGCCGCGGGCCCGACGATTTATTCGCGTTCCGTTACCGCGTTCGACTACCCGCCCCGGATAGATGCGACCCGTTTTTGTTGAAAACCCTCGGGCGCGCGGACGCGTCGATTCGCGGCGGTTAAACGGCGGTAACGGCGCGACGCCGCGGACAGTGCGCGTCCGATTGCGCGACGGGCGGGCGCCGGCCGCCGTCCGTAACGATGTCCGGCGACGGGACCGCTCGAGAAAACGTCCGACAACGGAGTGCGCGCGCATAACAGTAATCGCATACGTACGCGTTAATTATACACGGGTTCGGCGGTAGTAATGTTGTGTCGCGTATTATTTAGGTATTTCACATTGTCGTGTACGCCCCCGCCACCGTTTCGCGGCCGGCCGGAAACGAAACGATTTAATATTTTTATTTTTTTTGTATTTATTTATTTTATCGTTATTGTTATTATTGTTGTGATTGTTTTCCCGTTGCCGCGCCGCGACGAAACGCGTCCGTTCCGACGCGTCGCACGCACTTTAGTATTTTTTTTTGTTTTTTTTTTTCCAACACGCCGGCAGAATTTAATAATACGCCAGTATTTCGTAACGAGCGGTGCTGGCGGGTAGCTGGGTAATACGGGCGCGCCGACACCGGTGTCGCGCGCGTCGTCGGCTCGCGAAACGGTCGTTTTTAATTTTTTTTTTTTTTTTTTTTCCTCTCATCTCGACGCTGTTTCGCTAAGACAACGCGCGCGCGTTTCCGATGGAAATCNCGTTGCCGCGCCGCGACGAAACGCGTCCGTTCCGACGCGTCGCACGCACTTTAGTATTTTTTTTTTTTTTTTTTTTTCCTCTCATCTCGACGCTGTTTCGCTAAGACAACGCGCGCGCGTTTCCGATGGAAATCGGTTATATTTTATCGGACGTCAGCGTTACGCTAACCGCCCGCTAACCGTTCGACAAATCGTACCTGTACAGCGTCCGCATTACGTCATAATGGGCTATTGGTAAGCAGATCGCGTCGTCGTCGCAGTCGCGCGGGCGGGTAGTCGGAACGCCGGGACGTAGGCGTGTGTCGGGTGTTTTAGTTTATGATTTCCGCGTGGATTATTCTGCGCGCCACCCGACCGAACACGGCGCAAAAGAAATTGCGGCTTCCGAGCCGCGGAATTCGGTTAACGCAAACAGTGTTAATGTTTTTATTGGTATTTATTTAGTTTTTTTTTTTTTTTGCTTTGCAGCTCCCATCAGAGATCTCCGAATTTCACGCGCCGTCAATGCTCGCTCCACATCTCGATCTCTACAAGTCATACCGAGTTCACTCGGTCCATCCACCGTTGTCACGGTTTTCTCATTGAGCAGGTTTTCAATTGGCACCGTTAATGAACGCCTTTATAATCGAAACACCCTCCTCCTCACGCCGTATCATTATGACCGGTCAACTCTAACATTTTTGAAATCAGAAAATCTCGTGAATTCCGTGTGTTATACGGGCCAAAAGCAGTTCTCTTAAAAATAATAACATCACATACCAATTGAAAAAAAAAAAACAAATGTAAATTATACGAAATAATAGTTGAATATCAGTTTTGAGAAATTAAATCAATTGGCCGTAATAACAATCGTTATTGTTGTATACGCCTAATCTAGACAACCCGATTCTGAGCACTCTGTTCATCGGCTATTTGTATTATAACTTTTATTGGAAAAACACGAAAATCTTCGTGTTCAGTTGATTGAAAATAGTCTTTCTCGTAATTTTCTAAGTTTACTGACATTCGCCAAAATGTATTATACAATCAATGACAGTATAAATGCATACAAATTTCAGCATAGAATATAATTATCATTATGTTGATAATGCCATTATGATAATGGTCCAGTTTTAGGTTTAACTGTTGGTAAATATGATCTGATAAGGGTTTTTTTTTTTTTTAGTTTTAATAGAACTGCTTTGTGCTCGCATTATACAATCTGTTTAAGTCTGCGTTTTTTCTCCGCTCGTAACATAACCCCCCAAATATATTTTTCTAAGTATTTTCCTTTCGAAAGTCAATAGTTTATTTTCGTCACCTTACGTCGTGGACCACATTCGTTTATGACAATAGGGCATAAGTAGGCAATGTATAGGTTTTTCTTTGTTTCCACGAGAGTTTACTGATTGGTTTACTCATAATCTACCCTCTGTATGCCGCACATATTTTGTACTTAGTTTCTTTATGCGTATTATTTTTATGATTTATACTAGTACCTTTTATAAGTATTTAAAATTCTCGACTTGTTTTTTATAAAAGTATATATATTTTATAATTATTTTACATGTATAATATATAATACAATATAAATTACTACGTCCGTGGTTTTTAACAATTTTATCCTAAATCGAAATTTAAAATGTAAAAAAACAAAATCCCGAATTTCCATTTGTGTAATTTTCGAACGCAGCCTCCCGGTTCCTCCGATGTGCCTATAAATTCATAGGTAGTAAAACTAATACATTCCGCGTTCACTTTAAATCTAAAATGATTAATCATATCAAATATTATAATATTCGATTTTCGATATTCGGTGGTATTGTTTTTTAAAATAATATTTTCTTCCGGACGTGTATCTACACACGTGATCCGGACGGAACCGATTAATCAAATTTTAGATTTATATTGGTTGTCAAATTACTACATTATACTGCGCATCGTTCTGCTATTTCGCCGAGTAATATATTATCGTCATTCGATTTATCATTTATGTTTGATATAATATTTGCGCTTAATAATATATTAAACGTGATTATTGGCATTATGACATACAACATAATAATAATTATCGGTCGGCTATGATTATGTGTGTTCGGTATTTTTAACACTTGAAATTAACGAAAACGGGTTTAAAAATTCAAGAAACTTTGAAAAAAGCATTTGACAAATATTTAAAGATACCAAAATAGTATAAAAAGGGTTTATTAGTATCTACTCTAATGGCTTTAATTTATAAATTACAATTTTCTAGTACAACAAATGTACGATATATGAGCATTGGACATATAATAATATAAAAATCCTGGAAGAAATATCGTCAAATGAGGGCATTATATTTTCACGGTCCTGATAACCGATAACGGATAACAAGAGTTAATTTAAATTTTAGAGTGTGTAGCGAAGAATATATTCGTTTTACTAAGATGTGTATTTTAAAAATATTTTTTTAATACTTTTTATGGTTTCGTTTTTTAAACACTTTTTGACTAAACAAATGATTGTTTTTTAATTTTTAATTTTACGCAGTACCTCAAATGATGCGAACATTCTTTCCAGCAGTATATTATTTGAAATATTTATTGACAATAATTTACCCTTAATCACATTTTTTTTTTTTTGTGGTTTTTCCCCTCGAAAAACACTTTTTTTAAATTAATCGAATCTTACCTTAATAGATGCAGACTGTTCGTGGGTAGTATTTGATAAAAATTTTAGAAAAACAAAAGTTATTTTATACAATTTAAAAAGTTAACAATAAATTTCGATAATACGATGCGTTGGTTTTATATCAACTACAGTCACAGTGCCCAAAAAGACAAACCACCGAGGCCATATTATAAATCCATTTAGGTAACGATACCCTCGATATTTTGAAAAGTATTGAATTTTTTCAAAGAAATAATTGTTTTTAAAATAATTAAACAATTACATTTGTAAACCTAATAATTTGTAAGCCTAATCCAAATATGTCTAAAAGTAAAAAAAAAAAAATATGTTATTCTTATAAATATATATTGTAAATTTTGAAACAACTTCCCATTCAAATATCATTAAGTGAAAAATCCGAATATTTTCAAATATGAATTGAAAAAAAAGCCGGACAACTTCGCACATTAGTGGGCTACTGTTGTAGTTAAGAAGTTTGGAAGATAGAAGCGGGTAAATTTAATGTATATGTATAAGCAACGATAAATCATATTGCTAACAAAACACGATTCTGAGCGGAGTTCAGTTGGTAGTGTTTTTTTGTCAACAATAAATATTATGGTAAAATAATTACATAGGCATAATATATTTGCTTTGATAATATTTGTTTAATACTGTAACTATTTTTCTGTTTTTCCTAAAACGCCTGGGAAAATCAAAATTGAAACTTGTAATTCGGATCAAGATTTCTGGTAGAAAAGTTATCCACAGAAAAAAAAAAATAAACATATTTTTGTGAAACTATAAACTTTTCGCCCCCCTCAGAATAGGTATACGCAATACGCTAGATCTAAAAGTCTTTAGCACATACCAAAAATCTGGTATCGGCTTTGTGTTTTTAAGAAAATGCTGCTATTTGATCTAAGAAACACAAATTATTACGTATGTTTCTTAAAAAAAAAATCTCAAATATCATAGCGGGGGGGCGGAGGTGTTAAAACTTATTGCGCGGCGTTCGTTAGAAATTGAGTATTGCAGCAATATAGGGAAATATTTTGTTAAGAAATATGGTTATTGTTCGGTTTTATTCGTCGATATATTATTGTTGGTTATTGAACGGGACGAGGAGAATTTGCACTTATACTAATCATAATAGTATATGTGCAGGCATTACCTACCGGAATGCATTTCAAAAGTTTTGTGTAGACCGTTCACGTACCTACTGCATCGACGGATTCGAGGTCGTCGGACACCGAACGGTATCGCGTGAATAATTTATTAGTCATATTTTCCACAGTAAGCGAAACGATAACATGCCGAATTGATGCGGTATAGCCGAAGTACCATAGAGTCCAGCTAGTCGCTTTTTTTTTATTTAGGCGGTTATTACGGTCGAGGACAAAGAAATCGGTATAAAAATAAAAACAAAGGTTTTTACTATCGTGTTGTACTTGATTAAGTTTACTTTTACGATTATTAAAAAAAAAAAAAAAAAATCGGTATGCTTTTACTCAATTTCGCAACTTTGCCGTATCGCCAACAAGAACCATGACAGACGTCAGTGTATAATAACGTAACATATTTTTATATGATGTACTTAATAACATTATATTCAAAATTTTACTACATTTCGTTATTTGTGTTTTTATTTGAAAAAGTAATGTATTAATTGTATTAATGGGAATTTCAAGTACATTTTTTTAAGCGTTCCGTGTTGTTTTTTAGAACATCAAATTCCATAACTATACATTATTATATTATAAAATTAGAATACATATTTTGTGTTTACATAGATTATGTAACTATAACGATGCTTACCGGGTTTTCCAGCAGCTCCTCGTACCGGCACTGGATGTCCTTTCCGCGTTTGGGTCTGATCAACAAGTACAGCGTCTTGAGGCCCGGGCACGATCGTAGCAACTTTTCGACCAATGCCTTGCCCACGAAACCCGTGCCACCGGTGATGAACACCGTAGCCCCGTCGTAGAAGTCGATCACTCCGCCCAATGCCGGTTCGTTCCAGTCCCGGCACCCGAACTCGTTGTTGTTGTCAGCCATGGTCCTTGAAATTATAATTTGATAGACAGGTAGATAGGAAATACAGCTACTGACACGTATTTCAGGTTCAAATATCAGCTATGCGTTTATTGTTGTACGTCAGATACTATAGTCCAATGCGGCCAAAGTCATCAGCATATGCTATAATAATAAAACAACGAGTCAATAAGTTAATACGTGCACGCCGTTAAAATTTAAAATTGTATTATTTCAAAACCTAGTTTAACAGGAAAACTATTATTATTAATAACTATTGTATTGCTAAATAAACGAGGAAAAATTCCAAAATCAAAAGGTCTAGAAAGTTATTTTCCAGAAAGTCTGTAGATTAAAAAAGGCAAATTCTCAGAAAATGAATGGATCGACAGAAAGTATGAATCCGGAAAATAAAATAGCCAGGTGATACAAATTCCAGAAAAAAAATAATAAAAGAATAAGAATAATCGCAGAAAGTCGTTTTTCAGAGATATCATATACATATTTCTCATTCTGTATCATATTTCATACATATTTTTAACACTTATTAAACTTATATTGCATCAAATGCAGAAAAAAAATTGATAACACAACCTATTCTGGCCTTTTTTATTTTCTATAAAACTACTTTCTAGTTATTATATTTTCTGTAATTTTGCTTTCTGTTTAAATATTTTCTGGAATTTTTACATTATGACTGTTTTATTTTGTGGAAATTTATTTTCTCAATTCCTACTTTTTGGTTTTTATTATTTTGGTCGTATAGTTTTTTAGAACATTATATGAGTCCCTCTATTTACATTTCAATTATTATGACAGCAAAATGATAAAAGTTATCTAGTAGAACTAAATTATATCCAACCTAGTAATTATATTTTATCGTTCATATTACATTATATTTATTTTTTAATATTTGCATTATATAAATATTTATATTGTTTATGAAACTTGTAAAACCGTACGAATGTACATTATATAAATTATATTTTTTATGTTGATGGATTTTTCACCATGTGTTTTTTGCTGGTAAAAGTTATTTTTTTATGGAAATTGTAGACAAAACTAGTGAATAATATTTAATAACGAAAATTGCATTAGTCATTTATCATTTTATTTTAGTTATTTTACCATCAGACAATTGTAAAATCCGCACTTTTATATAACATTATTACATACTAATTAAACATTTGTAAAATAAGACTGCAAGGTATAAAATTTGTATTTTCGTCCAACCTGGTCCATAAAACCATTTAAATTTTTTAATGTTGCCATAATTTATTCCACACCAATATACATTGGACAGTGTAGCATTTTTTGAAATACACATATTGTTCTGTGAAACAAAACTAGTAGTGCTGCCAACCGATAACAAATTTTAAAATAAAAATACGCCGGTTGTGAATTATAATAGTTTAAATAATTCTGAATAAAAACGTGCGATTAGGTCATTATTTCGACTCAGTGGATTAGACCAATTCTGCGTTCGGTGCCTCAACCTAACCCTTTAATTTGTTTTTAAATCGTAAATAATAAACCGATTTAGGTAAGTATAAAAATTGCAAAGGTCAAACCTGATGAATATATTTAAAAACCTTTCTCATTCCCCGAATTTTTTTCCGCTCGTGGAAAAATCAAAATGTACCTATATAATAATGTAATACAATTATGAACAACACGATCACGACCATAGACAATTTCTCAAAAGTCACAAAAATATGAAAAGTATATTTGTTTAAATATTATTTGACAATAATTATTTTAAATAATATTATAAGTCAATTTGTTTGGACGAAAAATGAAACAATTGTTTGGGCTGTGAAAAAAATAAAATAAATTTCGGAAACTTATTTTAGCGTCTGTTTTATACTCTGCCGTATACGTGGGTAAAATATAAAAGTTTTAAGTTTCGCAAATTATTTTTTTAAAATATGTATAGTTGCAAATTTGTGTGACGATACGTTTAGTGAAAATTGATAAAATGGTTTAAACTCGAAATTATTAAAAACAAATTTATATGTATGTAACAAAAAGGGTACATTGAATAAATAAAAATAGAAACTAATAAAAAAGTTATTATTAACTGAAATTAAAGTCTTTGAAAATGCGATGGAAAATGTTTATTAAAAACGAAAACTTCTAAAAACAGAAATTATAATTTAATCTTTTAACGGAACTTTATGGAAACGAAATTCTCGTTTTATTTAAATTATTATTACGTTTTAGTATATTTATTACGCATACACGTTTTGAAATTAAATGAATAGATATTTTGTTCAAAATAACAGCCTCGCGATCAGATACTCAAATAAAATTAGCATAGGTATGTATTTAATATTTATTTGAATATTATTGTCCATAGGAAAAAAAACTCCGTTTTCGATCTTTTTCCAGAATCGAAAGTCTGGAACTACATTTTTCAAGAATGGTATATCATCGATTCGAAAATTAATGAAAATTCCCCAAGGTATTATTATACACCGTTGATTGTTATTATTATTTATTTAGGGGTTTGAAGAGTACCAAGTTTCCGTACGTTTAATACCGATAAACGGTGGGAAATCAGCTATACATGCCGATGTCCGATTTAGAATTCACAAAGTATTCATACGGTTGTTGACATATTTTCTAAGTTTCTAGGAAGGCGATTTTTAATTTTCAGTTTTGAAAACCTTCAAAATGATGATAATATTTTGGAAATTTACGTGAAAACACCGAATTAAATTTGTATGTATATTTGGCATATTAAATTTCAGAATAAAAATCAGCTTCCTAGGAAACGTAGATAATTTGTCAAAAACCCAAGCAAACTTTAAAAATTGAAATAAAACATCGGAATTTATGTCTTATTTCCCACCGCATTGGTCTAAAACGTTATATTCGTCTGTATCTCTTCCCTTTAAATGGATGTCGGGCAGTAGATAAGTGGAAAAGTTTTATTATTAAAGTGGCTGTAAAATGGTAAAAACTAATTTTTAAATTCAACATAGTTGAAAACAATTTGGAAAACCTGATCCGATCTCCCCTGCCCCTGTTGAAACATAAATTTCAAAAGTTAATTAAAATTGCACAAGTTATTACTATTAATAACTGCAGTGGTGTTCCCATAGGATATACCACAATAGTATATACGCAGTATTAAACTTTCAACATTTTGGAGACAAATCGTGGGTATGCTGCTAATACCTACTCTAAATTAGTTAAAAAAAATAAATAAAAATAATAATGTATATCATCATTACAAATGCTCATTCGTAGAACCATAAAAGTAACATAAATTGTATTTATTTTATCAATTATAAATTGACTAAATCAAAATTTTCTTATGATTTACAATTGTACATTTTTTCAACTTTGAGCGTTTGATTTGGTAAATATTGTTTAGTTTAAATCGAAATTTTCTTATATACAGCATGTAAACCATGATAACGATACCTAATGAAAGGTATGAGAATAGTCATACTCGAATTGTACTCCCAAACAAATTTACCAGAACACCGCTGTTTCCAAGACAATATTATAAAGTCCAAGTCATTGAAGATTGCGTAATCCACAATGATGGACCTTGTACAGTTGCGCGTCATTAAAAATCCAACCACTTTCTTTTCGATTGAATACTACAATGTGATTCATTTATCATGAACCAGCAATTTGTATTTTATATTTTTATTTTAATAGATTTTTAAATAGCAATCTTCCATTTCAATCGCAGATTCAAATAAAGAATATTTGTCTAGATATTTGTATAGGTATATACAATATATATAAAACACTAATATCATAATATTTACAGTTTATGATTTATGGAAGAATTATTGTTTGAAAATAGGTATGCAATTTATTACTTTTCCCTATGCTTCCGTTCTAAACTTTAAAATAAATATAAAATGTAAATCTAATATAAGTGTTGTACATATAAATACGTATAAACATTTCTAGGAAAATATCCTCTATTCGAATCTGTGTTTAAATAGAGGAGTTTTTACTTAAAAAAACAAATGTATATACTTATTTAATGTACATAGAGTAAGAGAATAAAATTAAAAATGATTTTAAAATAAATCTTACAATATTTCACAATGATAAAAAAAAAAAAAAAAACAGATATCAAATTCACTTAAAATCCTTTCTCGTTTATGATAAAAAAAAAAAAAAAAAAAACACTGTATAATATTATAATTTCTATATTATAATATATAAGTATCTTTATTCTTACTGACAGAAACTTGACATTTTTACAGTATTAGTACCTTTTAAACCGTAGACATTCACTAAGGGAGGATTTTGAAAACTTCATTCTTAAAAGATGGCTAGCATGAGATTTTTGACATTTTTTGAACAAACAAATTGAATATTATTTGTTGATTTATATGTTACCTTGGTGACGTGGATTATAATGTTCCTATCGCCGGCAAGAAAACATTTAATATTAAACACCATTGGTATTATTACTATTATTATTATTCACACCAATATATTTTAGATTCTGAGTGAAGCAAGGAATGTATTGGTTTCAGAAAATGGGATACACCTAGGGAGGTCAGTAAATATCTTCCCAACAAGCACCAATTAATTTAACTCAATTAGTTGGTTCCCAAGAAAGTCTAAAACCTTTGCGATGAGAGGCTTCCGTTTGGACCAAAATACTAATATATTTTTAAACTATTAATATGTATACTGAAAAATTTGATCCAACTAAAAATGTGGCCTAGGAAGCGCTGGGTGGAACAGTTATACATTATATAAAGTAATATCACGTTCAAATGTAATATAGTTTTAAATTAAAAAAAAAAAAATAAATAAATAAAATAAACAACAATAATAACATGTCGAGAAAATGCGTAGTCGTTTTATTTACGCAAAATACGTTTTCTTGATACTTCCGCGGGAGCAGAGAGGTTAATACGGTTTTCATATTCTTTTTAAACCTTTGGGCATAATACCTATTGTACATAATAATACGAGTACGTTCTTTGTTCGCGTAAATCGCTCACAGCGCGGTAAAATGTATTTAATTTTTTTTTAACTTTGCCCGGTTTTTTTTTTTTAGTCCGAGGTTTTTCTTTTCCTTTTAGTAGGTAGTATTATTTTTGTTTCGTGCGTGCAATAGTAGATAAACGTGGGTTTCGCATGTACAATATTATTAATTATTATTATTATAACGAATTTAAAATTTTTAAATCCCGCTGTTATGATAACATAGTAGAAAACTGCAACAATAATAATAATATCATTAAAACCGTCGAGATTGTGCAAGACTTTTATTATTATGAAAATAAAATGTTCAATCGTGTCTATAACACTATCGTATAATTCGTACATTTTTTGAAAACTTCAAACAAATCGTATTCACCGAAATCTGCTAATATCCTAATTGGTTTCAACAAGTGACCAGGATTTCAATGTATATACAGAGTGTTTCGAAATTGAGTTAGCACAAACATGTTTTTCTGGAAAACTCTACCCTATAGATGCACCGGGTGAAGTTATTTTTCACTCAAATCGTGATATACTTTGAACGAAAATTGTGTTGGGACAATACGAACATATTGTTATTATCGTTACTAAGATTGGTGTGACCCGTCATTTTAAAGTAAAATTTTGTGACAAATCACGTGATTGGCACCTATCTAAATTGTTTAGTATTCGAGAATACTTAGCGAGTAATAAGGCAATTCTGAAATATAAGAATTAACAAAATACAGATGAAAAATTGATGCTGTACATTATCCACCTCGCACAGTGTTTAATCAATTAACGAGTGTTACACCTGAAACGCTGACAAATAATTATGAATTATTCAAATCATTATATTGTTTCATATAATACGTGAAACGTGCACACGCATTCGTTACAGTTTTGAAGAAAATATAAATTTTACTAGAAAATCTACACCGCGAAAAGTATATGCGGTTCATCCGGCTAAAGTTTATTTAATACGTCATTTCTATACAAATGGATAACCAAAACATCGGAAAGTTGCAAAAGTTTTTTGAACTCGTGGGAGCATCTCGTGTGCTTGACGTAATGCAAGTTTTGATTTTAGCATATTATGTTTTCTGCATCTGATATATTATATTTAGGTTACACACGTACAAAAATGGCTTATGTTTCATATATATATACGGTTAAAAACTCGTATATCTACAGGTTATACGACATAAAGGACCGTTTTTTTTTCAGAATATTTTAGGAATAATATATTACGAAGAGTCTATGTAACTATATAATAGACATATTTTAAAAATAAAAATCTAAGGGGGAGTTAAAAGAGAGGATATAATAAAAATAATTTAATTTATGTTTATCGATTCTGAAGTCGTAATTTTCCCCTAATTTGACGTTAATTTAGAAATCAACAAAGATTATTTAAAATTTGTCAGTTTTTGTTCATTTATTTAATAAACTATGAGGAAAATAAAAAAAATTAAAAAAAATTTTTCCTTTATGTATCAAATCGATTAAAGTTCTATAAGAAAGTTTGGTTAGAGCAATATTTCTGACAAGAATGTTGTTTTCACACTCAAATAAAAAACACTTCATAGTAAAGCTGAACTTCACTCAGAATCTAAACTGTAAAATATTATTTCAGCCGTTTGTAATTTTTCATAAATATCTATAGATTTTAAAACAAAAATATCCTTATATAATAATATTCTCTAAGTATAAACTCAGGCTAACAAAATACACATATAGGTTACGATTTTTTGTAATAGTAAATAGTAGACTATATAATGCATTAGTTTTATACTCGTATTTACATTTATTTATTTTCATTCCATTTACGTAAATTCAGTGAACTGCAGATGCATTTATAAACGCAAGGTGCAACCCTCGAAACACTAAAACGCACTCACATTAAGGGAGTTTGCACCGAAGTACTTACGCATATAAAATGTAATGTGACACATTATTATAATAAATGTGCAATATGGTGTGTGGATATTCGATTACTTTTTTTTTTGTTCAGTTATTCGCATATTATATTATTATATAAAAATAATAAGGCAAAAGTCATTATTACAATTTAGATATTTTTTTTTTAGATTCTGAGTTTATTTTTTATTACTATTCTCAGGAAAACTTTTTCGGTTAGTCAAAAAACGTTACAAAAGCACCGCAAAGGACATGGAATATTTTATTCAAAAAATTTTGCAAAATACAAAAGTTGAAAAAAAACTTAGATTTTGTATAATCGATTCTAGGATTCTAATGGCTACCTATTAAACTTTCAAGTTATAAGATATTTTATTTTGTATATTTATATTTTATTTTAAGTGGCCGGTTTATAAGGTTAAAAATTAAATTGTTTCAATATTAATTTAAATTAAATTTCAACGCATTTCAGAGTTTCCCTGCATACGAAAACGAATGTATTAGATTCGGTAAGTATTTGGTTCATCGAATGCCCCATAAGATATGCTACGTGGTTTTAATTTATTATGTAAAATATAATTTTCTGATTAAAAAACTAAAGAGCATACTTATAATACGAAATATTAAAATTAAAAAAAATAAAAGATATTCTATCTTATATACAAAATATGTTACGTGATAAAACATTGCCACCATTTCTAATTTATCGAAAAGTGTTTTCTGAGGAAAAAACCACACTTTTTAACAGCGTTTCGTTTAGTTCAGAATCTAAAATACAAATAAATTATGTGAGTGCACCTATTATGATCTTATTAAAATACAATTTACCTAAATGATGTCGTTTATTTCAAATATCATGACGTATTGGTCAAAGATATAAATACGATTTTTATTTCAGATTTTGAGTGCAGCAAGGAATGTATTGGTTCTACCATGATGTTTGTTTTGTCTGTAAATAACTTTTCTACAAAAAATCTTGCTCTAATCAAAAACCACAAAAGAGTTTTTTTTTTTAGCGTTTGGGACCTGGTTAGTGTATTGGGAAAGTTATTATTTAATTGGCTTTGTAGTTTTTATAGTAATTGGGAAAAACTGAAAAAAAATCGTGTAGGAAAAACAGACAAATTGAGTGTAACATAAAAGTCTCATTGTTTTCGATTATTCCAATTTTATTTTGAAAACCGTCAAATTATGTACACAAAAATATTTATCTATGCGTACAGAGTTGAAAAACGGTTTAAACTTTTAGAAAATTTTACTGCTTCTAGAAAAGGTAAATATAAGTTCTCTGTCAAAATTTCAAGTATTTACGAATATATTTAACTGAATCGCAACAAAAAACAAAATTTAAAATAACAAAAGCATTATTTCCGTAAATTCTCCCATTCTTATACTGTCAATATCGGTTTCTAATGATCGTATAAATAATTTCTAGGCTAATTAAAAAAATTAAAGTACCTATTTATGCATTAAAATATTAAATGATATAAACATGTAAACATTATAATAAATAATATAATATTGGTGTGAGAGTTCTCCCATGACTTGGGCTTAATACTGTGTAGCCACCTAACACTACGCATATACATAATGTTTATTGCCACACATAAAAAAATTAATTCGGCACCGCTGATCAATAGTATCAAGATTTGTATTAATTGTTTTAATTTAGTGCAATATGTACTTCAAATAGTACTCAAACTAAACGATATTTAGTAATAATCATTGCAATTTAACTAGAAAAATTTATTTCATACAAAATGAATAAATAAACAAGATTTTTTTATACTCCACAATATCACATAGTTTTAGATTCTGAGTTAAACGAGGAATGTATTGGTTTTACAATTATGTTTATAAGGTATTTTTTTTTTTTCTTACTGTGTATAGAAATTCTACCAAAAATATTGCTCCTTTTCAAGTTAGCGCCTTTTCTGAATGAAAATTTTCTTGGGTTGATACTTTAAGAAGGTTTTTTTTTTGATTTTCCAGGCATTTTTCAAAATAATTTAAAAAATAGGAAAAAACGTAGGGAAAATGGGGAAAATTTATGAAAATAATGCTTTTATTATTTTAAATTTTTATTTTGTAATTCATTTAAAAATGTTTATAGAGACTTGAAATATGGACAGAAATCTTATATTTACTTTTTGTTAACCAGGCAAAATTTTCAAAATCTTTGAGTCATTTTCGAGATATTTATAAATATTTAATATTTTTATGTTTTTATATTATGTATTTTTATTTAGTAAATATGTTATTAAAATTATATGACTAAAAAGTCAATTGACAATTTAACACAAAGTACATTATAAGTTGTACATTAAATTTCTCTCTATATCCTGCCTTCTTAATTTCTCACCTACAACAGTGGAACACCCATTGTGTGTAGTCTATTCGTTTTTTTTTTTATCGAACACTTTAACTAACTAATTTATTGATGCCCACCGTTGGGTCTAAGTAATATTTATCTGAGTGATCTTATAATTATAATTCGTAAATTTAATTTAATACCTCTTTTAAACCAATAAGGGTCGACTTGAGTACTCCCACAGCATTCAAAAGACTATCTCGACCAGCTTATACACAATAATAGTTAAGTACAGGTTAATTCGATTATAATTAGAAGAAAAACAATTCGCTCGTGTTTCCTATAGTAATTTTCGTATTACATAAAATGCGTTTAACAGAATTGCCTAATTTTTTGATACGATACCTGTGCCATCATATTTAAATATTGGATTCGATTTTGAAAAATAATACTGGTGTACAATCAATATTTGACGAAGATGCTAACCAAAAATCCTTTTGCTAACCTACTTTCGCGTATGGTAAAATGAATTGATGTAAAATTCTCTTTTTTTATTTCTATTAAAAAAAGAACAGTATTTTATAGCGTACACTCTCTTTACCAATACAGTTTCGGTTCTATAAATTCTAATTGCAAAATTGTAGATGTATACAATTATATCTAAATACGTATATATATCATCGAATTTTGGAGTATACAGCCGCGTCACCCAATTATGTGATATTTTCAGAGAAATAACAAAACTAAATATAGTATAGTGCGCGCGATAATGTGTTGAACAATATTGACGATGCGGAAAATTAACGAATTATGCCCTGTCGCAGCAATAATAATATATCGTATAAAATACTGAGAACTCTCACCTAGGAGACGTGATGTGTATTTCGCAATAACCGAGTAAAACCTTTTCAATGTCACTGTCTAATATCGGGCCGCTGTCGTATTATTTTACGATCAAACTCAAATTTCGAGACAGTATAAAATTAAATCGCTTATTTCAGAAACTCTCTTAAGTCCACGTTTTCCCTATCTTAATTGTTTCTTTAAACTTCTAGAAATTAGTAAAAATATTACTCATTCTTACGGATACCAGTATGATGGAGTTTTAGCTCAAAGACATGTTGAGAAACGAAATTACATTTTGTAATTTACACATATTAAGAAATTTCTGGAGTAAATAATATTGCCATACACTGTTTTAAATTCTGAGCTGAGTGAGGAATGTATTGGTTTTAAAAAGATGTTTATTTTCGCTATTATTTTAAGGTGCAACACCTTTTCTGAAAAGAAATTTGACTGAGACTAGGGTAGTACTTTAAGGAGGCCGTATTTTTGATTTTACCAAGGATATTCATAAGCAATGAGAAAACATAGGATAAATAGGAAAATGTACAAAATGTACAATTTTCAAATCATAAATATTATAACTTTTGAAAAAATTTGTAACCGAACTTCGGCAAAATCATTTTTCATTATAAATGATTAATTGCTGTGTACAGATATACAATACATTTCTCCTCTACCTTCTTAACTTCTCACCTTGTGTCAGAGCTACATCGAGTAATTTCATATGTATTTGTATTATGCAATGATAAATCATTGTTAATGGCAAACGAATCTAAGTCTGGTTCGGTTTTAAACATATCTTGAAGTGTCGTAAATTTTACCATTTTCATAAAAATTTGAGCTTAAACGTTTATGTATATAAATATTTGTTTTGAAAACGGATACAAATCGTAGATATTTATGTGAAGTCAAATAAATTTTTTTCACATAAAACTATATAAAAACTAAAAAAAATTAGAAAAGTTGTTTACAGTCAGAAAAAAAAAACAAATCATACTAAAACCAATGCATTCCTGGCTAAACTCAAATTCTAAAATAATTTGTGATACCCATACGACAAGAAACGATTGTGAATACGATAATATAACCGGTGATTTCCGTACCGATCTCCAAGTTCACGATCTTCACCATCGCAATAATAATATTATATTACTACGCTTATACCCCCGAATAACAATAATTTGAACGTGTGTATGTACCCACGTTATCGCACGACAGACGATACAATTATATGGTTTTCGCGTGTCTTTTTGGCATTAGTCGTCGTATGACGCACATAAAACGATAACACTGCTTCATATATAATATGGGGCATATAGGCATTGTCAAAAAATATTAAAATTCGTATTTTTCGAGAGTTGCACGTGATTGCCCGGAGGTTATAGAATATAATATTATGGATATTAGGTTAGATTAGATATGGTTGAAAGAAAGAGAAACTATAATTTTAATAGTTAATACTAAAATAATATGCTGAAAATCGAATAGCAGAATGTATATTATATAAATAGTTTTTAAATATACATGAATTGTGTTGAAAACAGTAGGTATAGGGAAAAAAGTGTTTTTCGGAGGGAAAAAAGGATCTAGGGTGTAAATTACTAAGAATAAAAAAAACAAAAACACATCTTAACAAAACTAAACTCAAAATCTAAAATAATCTTCTCCAACTGTTTTCGGAAACGCAATTAGTGTTATTGCGCAACTTGCGAATTAGAAGTAGTCAAGTGAGATTTGATAATTCTTATTCTTGAATTTCACACGACTGAAAAGCGTGTAAAATGTTATGAGCCTTCTGATACGTGGCTCTAACCACACGCCAGTGAATAATCGTATACGACAGTGACGAAATAAAGTGCTTAATATTTCATAAAATTTAATTGTATATAACTCAAATTAACCTAATGAAGGCTAATCATCGCATCAAGTATAGCATATAATACGTTAACGGTTTCTTCTCATCATTGTTTTACGTTTTTAAAATAAACATAGAAAATAGAAATAAACTTAATAATTGGAAGCCGAGTTTTAAAAAAACCATTTAATTAGATCATTTGATCAGTAGTGACTTGACACTTGCTATCCGAAATTTTCGGAAAATGTATCCACTACAAAAGATAAGGTAAATTTAAAACCAAACCAATTATGCACTATTGCGAAGACAAAATAAATTATACAAAATTACTCATAGGAAAGAGACTTCAATAGTTGACTATTCTATGATACATTTTTGTTATCATTGACAACAATTTTTATCAGTGTGATAACGAGTTAAAAAAAAAAGGTTATACAACTATTGTAGTACACTACAGCAAAATTATCGAATGGTGTTCATGAATAGACATAAACAGATAAGAAAAACAGTATATGACTTCTTATACGGTATATTATTAATTTTCGCTTCCATATCGAATGAGTTCAAGAATTAACCCCCAGGATAATAACATATAATGGGTTAAGTAGTAATGTTGACAGAAAAAGAATGAAGCGAAATAAATTGATGAAAAAAATGTACCAAAAATATAAATAACTGTGTGAGACCTCCATTAGGGAAGATCCTAATCAAAATCCGTTACGAAGTTTAGAAGAACTAAACGTATAGACAGACGGTCAGAAATAGTAATTTTATTTTATAATATTTATATACATAAAAAAAAAATATGTCCTTACTGACTTACTGGCTCTGACTGACTGACTGATCATCGCCGCCCAGCCCAAACCACTGGACAGTTTATTCAATTTTGACATGGGCAAAACCAAAAACGAATACGGGTAAAATAATAATAATACAAATTGGCACGGGCAACGCCCGGGGACTGCTACTATAGTATACGACTACGAGCTGCTAGTCAAAGCTCGTCAAGTGGCATACAGGAGTAAGGAAGATTCAGAATGGAAGAATCGCAGTAGAAGGGAAAATATAAAGAATGTCCAACTGTCAGTTTTTTATGCTCGGGGCGTTTCGGGAGCCACTGGATTATAGTCGGTGGGTGGGCAGTATGACAGGTAGGATGCGGGTGAAGTTAGTTGAGATATGGAAACAGGTAATAATGTCTGTAAATCAGTTTTTACACGGCTCCGCCCCAGGCCCCGAGCACTCCTTTAGGAGCGCATACAGGCAGCGGGTGAGCAGTCGGCTTTCAGCAGACCGGAAGCAGTGTAACGCGTAGGATACTGGGGAAACTAAGATATGGGAGTAAGTTATACAGAAACGAATTTTGTCGCGATTAAATTTAACATTGGATAAGCACACTCGCGGGTAGCTAAGATGAAACAAATCGGACGATGCGAGGGGCGGAAGGGACCGGACTGAACCCTCCGTGTTGCGTCCTCCGCGTATACGGCAGACGAAAAAGACAAGGGGCAAAAAAACGTGGAGGGCGAAAACGAGATTTGAAAAAAATGTATACACTGTATAACTACGATACGCGCGCGTAGGAATTTCCACCGTACAGGATACAACGATACAACGCGATAACAGAACAGACGGTGACGCGGAAAACAAATACGAATCTCTCCGGGCGACTGTCGCGTGAACCGAGCCCGAAACCCGACCTCTATCGCGCGTGGCCGCGCGGGCTGCGACGTCGGTTTCGTATCCGTCCGCGGCGGAAATATCAATTATACCGTATCGGATAGTTCGACGAGCGCGCGAATGCGTTTTGTCGAAAACCCGCGTCCGGACGTTGGATTCCGCGCCAGACGCGTCCCGCCGCCGTCGCCGGTGTCCTACATATTTTTTTTGCGTTTATAGAAACGCGCCCGTGGAAAAATAACAATACGATTACAGCCTATCGGCTCGTCCGTCGGAAAACCCGCGCACTTTACGTGCCCGTTTTGTATAGGCGCGTACGTTACGCGGCGTTTCTACTGCGCCCGACGGACAATGCGCGGTGTTGTTGTGTTGTACGGACGGACGAGGCCGTCGGATATTATCGCGTCAAACCAGAACGATGTCACTGCCGCCGCCGCCGCGTAGGTATAATATCTGGTGTGTTATAGAGCCGGGAAAGTGATCCGCGAACAATAATAATAATAATAACGATAATAATAATAACGGTAATAATAATATATACAGCGGTAAGTACCGGGGGTAACGCCCTAAATGGAGTAGACAGATTGACGTCCGTCCGCGAACGGCGGTATAAATAATAAACGGTGACGCGTCGTAATAACAACACTGCGTATTATACGTTATTGTAATATTATAATTATTACGCGTTTTAAACAGCACCGAAACAAACGCGACAAAACGGTCGCATCACGATTTGTTTGAGATTTAGAGGCGGTTCAACGGATGTAAATAACTATAGGCACTATATTGGTCGATCACTACTAATAACATTTTAATAAAAAGACCGTCGGTCTTTTTATATTTCGCGCCGCGGGTGGACTACTGTTGTAGGTGAGAAATCGGGAACGCACGATAAACGGGGGAATTTAATTTGAATATCATTTGTGCGTGACGAGTAATCAATACTAACGAAAGGCGATTCTGAGCGGAGCCCGGTCAAATGCATTGCTCTGTCAGCAATGTGCGTTTTCACGACGACAACGATTGTTTGAAAAATATTAAAACAATAACGAAAAAATAAATAAAAACGGTCGCCAATGACGACCTTGTATTATTAATCTTTTAATCTTTTTTAAACTAAAGAACTTTTTTTTTCTTATTATCTCGAATATTAATGAAAATTTCAAAAAATAATTTTTCCAAAATACCAACAAGAGCCGAAATGCATCAAAAAATGTCTTGTCGTGTTTTTTTTGAAATAAGATTTTTATGTTGTTACATTGATGTAACAATTCATTGATTAATGGAAATTATATACATAATATAAAAATAAAAAAATTAACTTCGCTTCACTCAGATATAAAATAAGATAAAACATCTGGATGTATCGAGAACATTGGACAATATTGATGGATGAATACTGAGTATAGATTATAATATATTGTTTCTAGGGTTTATTTGAGGGTGAGCTTGTTTTGCCACAGACCATTGATCGTAGTTGTCGTCGTTGGTGGTTGTCCGACCGACAATCAATACAGTGTTCGGATTAGATAACTAAACGAATTATATCTATATAAAGATAGAAGATAATAATTAATGAACATTTGTTTAGATAAAGGATAAATTTATGTGTTTTGAGTCTCAACAAATTTACGGATTTCCTAAAATCAATTAAGAAAAACAACTGATACCATATTGGGAATGGGTGCCCAAAATATATAAGCAATTCGTCAAAACTGCAGATCTCTGCAATACTTTTTAACCGATTAGTGACAAAAAATCTAAATGTTGCACTACACTTTGCCGTATTTCTTATGCTTTTACATGGTTTTTCGTAATTATTAGATAAACTGCACTAAAAATCAAACAACGATTTTCTTATTTACAAACTAGACAAAATTTTCTTTCAGAAAATGTACTATTCTTAAAATTTTGACAACGATTTCTGGTAGAAAAATTTAATAATAAATATTTTTAAAAAATGAAATCGTTGCTCTGTAATATGAAATAATCTAATTTTTCTTCTTTTTGATTTTTCTTAATTTTCAAGAAAACTACTTTGGATATAAAAAATAATGACTCACTACCAGTGGTTATATATACATATATAAGCTAACCTGACTTAAATATAATATATTTTTCGCGATTTATTGATCTCTTTGATATTTTACTCTTACTATCTTCCTGAGCGATATAGACTGTGAATCATTCGTAAATGATTCTGGACCAATTTTAGGTCACCAAATGGTAAATGACGAATAAGCCCTGTACACTATTTACGAATTTCAATGGTTAGTGGACTTTTAGAGGTTCCAAATAACATCAAGCGTGTACGGTAGTGTGATTTGGTTTTCGTTATCGAGAAATGGGGAGGGTCTATTATCTCCAATCAAACGAAAAACATATTCGATTAAATATCAATCGAAAGTTCAAAAGTATATTTATTGAAATCGATTGAAAGGATTTTGTGGTATAATAAACCGATGAAAACGAATACAGTGATTATTTTGATGTTAGGAGCTGAATCAGACTTTATCGATTTTGGTTTTGATATTCTGTATAATCGATAAAAACGATGAACTTATATTATTTTCATTTGTGTTTTTCATTTTTTTAAGTTTTAAGGATATATACAAGGTGTGCAAACTTAAAATGAATAACACCGGACGAAAGTCGGTGATAAGGTACCTGCAACTTTATATGAATGTTTTGGAACATTTTCACTAGTAGAAAACGTATTTTGCGAGAAAAAAATTATTTTAGTACGAAACTAATTAGTCGGGCCGCTCATAATCTAAAATTCGAATGGTGCCTAAGTGTATGAGGAAAATGTACTCTGCGAGATTAAAATATATAATTTATGGTTCGGCATACGAGTGCATGCGTAATATTAACTGCCGTATAGTTTTGAACCGACAAAACGAAACTAAATAATTATAAAACACAGACGGCATAAAGTTTTTATCGTATACGGATATCTACGATTTGTCGACGAATTGTCTAGGTTGTTTTGAAAAGAAATAGATTTTTCGATTAAAAATTCCGTGTGAATAAAATAAACACGAATGTAATGCGGTTATATCACGGCATGTTCGAAAATGACATCTGCGTAATTTCGGTAGTGTCCACGAAACTGAAAATTGAAAATCGACTCTCTAAATAACGAGGAAAATGATTTGTCCACAAATGCGTATCCGCGTACTTTACAATTTAAAACTGGAGATCGCGCGGGATGTGGGTATAAATATATATATATATATATATACGTCTATTTTTCCGTTGCCCATCGGTGCGAATCGCCGAACCCTCGATGATAAGATACGATTTGATGGATTAGATTAGACTTTGATTAGTCGTCCCGGGCGGTGATAAAGAGGACAAGTCACGGTGAAACAATTTCAAATCGCCGACAGAGTCGGGTGCGGGAGGTATCGCGCGGAATTGTCGCTATAGTTGATTTGAAGTTTGCTTCCCCTGTGCGTGGCGATGTAGGTCAAAGCGCCTCCGCGTGCCGTTGTCCCGCAGTATAATGTCCCGTATCGGTTTTATATTATTTTTAATTTGGCACGGGACGGCTCATCGACCATCGTCTCCGGCGTACTCGCATTTTCCGAACGTGTATCGCAAGGCCGTAGATCACTTCCGATTTCAGAATGTTTCGTTTTCTTCTCGGCATTATAATAAAAAAACGCCATATATAATATATATATATATACGGGTGATTTTTCCGTGATTTATTCATTGGATATAAGGTGTAGTACCTACGATAAATAACGCGTGTAAATCGTTTAGATCAATCACACTTTGTCACGACACGTTTTCTTCGTGGTCGGAAAATCAAAACGAAACGCGCGAGAAATGTACGGGCAGACACCCATTTATCTCCGTAGGTGGTTTAGGTACGCGTGTCTCCATATACGTGACGTATGACGACCAGGCCCGGATTAAGTCATTTGGAAACCCTAGGCACTTTCTCTACAATACCGAGAAATTAATATGCCATACATTTTTCGGGGCTGTACATACCTAATAAATAAATATTAAATTCACAATCATTTTATACAATTGTTTTAGATTCTGAGTAGAGCGATAAGAAGCTTATAGTTTCACTAAGATGTTAATTTTTTTCGCCAAGCAATTCCTGTGAGTGCTAATGTGAGACGAGTGTGTGTGTATGTGTGGACTTGAAACTAATGACACAAAGAATAACTCAATCAATAAATGGTAACTCAAAATGTAGTAATCGTTCTATACTGCTGTTAACAAAATGTAAATAATTAATTAATAATGACAAACACACGCAGAAAAATTTACAGCAACACATATACGATAACTAAACAATGAACAGTGTAAAAATTATAACGGTACAATTAATAACGAATTACGGCTCTATTTTTACGTTCAAATATCTGTACGTTTATTCAAATAAAAAATATTGTACGTTTTTTAGTATTCTAAATGGGATGCAGATTATGAGGACCTATACTATATAGCATCTGTATCAATATTGAAGATATCTGGACAAGGAGGACATATTGTAGACTTAAATAAGTAAGTCTGTAACCTCTTCATTGTGTTCTTTGATTATTTTACTATTTGTTTATTAGTTGAAAATGATTAAAGGGATTCTAAAAAATAATCAAAAAGGAAAGAATATTTATTTGTATACAAAGTTAAATAAGATTATGTGATAATTTATTATTTATTATTAGGGTTACCGGCAAACAAAAAGATATAAACACAAATAAAACAAATTATATTAATAATAAAGATGCCAAAGGAAGAACAAAAAATATAAAACCAATAAGAAATTAATCCAACAAATTCTATGTAAATACATCTATATTGTATTTTATATATAATTAAATAATTTTTTGTTTTAATATTAGCCTGGAAACTTTGTCATTCATAAACATTATTTAGTAGAAGACTACACTGGCCTATAGAGAATCAATGAACCGTCATTTTTAGAAAAGTATGTACCATTCACTAGCAACACTGAAATAGTAGTCAGTAATGTTTCAGTTGTAAGTAAAAATAATTGAACCCCTATTCAAATTCAAAATATTGTACACATTTTAGTATTCTAAATTGTATAAAAAGTGTAAGGACTTGTACTATATATCATCTGTATCAATATTGTTTACATCCGTGACCATAATTATTGTAGACTTAGAAAGTGTACACTTTGAAAAACAAGTGTAACAATTATCTGATTATTAATTATTAGGGTGCAGATTAGCATTTTCTAATGAACAAGAAAAATATCTTAAAAAAATAAAATTGAATGCACTTATTTAAAAAGAAAGTTTGAAAAATTACCTAAATATTATTTTTAACATTGAAAAAAATATATTCTTTTATTAAATACGGCAATGACAATATTGCAATATAACTACATTACAATTTGATAAATAGCTCTTATAATTTTCTATATTGCAGGTGGCATCGTATTTGTCTAGTACAATTGGTAAATCTATAATTAATTTTAAATATAGAAATAAGAAGTTTTTTTTAGGAAGAAATAAAAATAAATGTTACTAAATTTTTTGATAAAACTATGAAGTTTGTAAAAAGAAGAAAAAATGCCTCATAAACATAAAACGCTCTTAAAATGTCAAAAAAATGCTCTAAAAATAAACAAAATTTCTAAAAATGCAAAATAAAAATTTCATATTTTAATTCTTTGATGTATGATACAAATTTTGTGCTTGGAAAGCATTACTTACAAATATTTAAAAAAAAACGCAACTCACATTATAATCTGCATCCTATATATATACTCATAATATATTTCGAGCCGCAACAATACAAATTAATACACCAAACAATAACTTGGCACGTACTTTCAATTCGCCCGGTGCGACGCGTAGCTGAACTCGGACAGTTCCCGATACAATTTTGAATTTAAACCTGTATGGCACTACTAACTACGTCATAATCTACACAAATTTAAAAATATAGATAACATTTTAAAACTTTCGAATAACACGTGTGTGTGTGTGTGTGTGTGCGTATGCGTGTGTGCGCCTGTCTTCTCGGCCTGTGGTGACCTTTACATGGCTAATCAAAGATGATTAAATCATAAAATAATTCGAATAAAAAAATTTATTTTTTTAACACCGATGATATGTTGTCGTTTCAAGAATTTAGTGTAGTGAAAGTACGTATAGAACTGTTTTTTTGGAATTTGCGCATCAAAAAACCCTATTCCGTTTAAATAAAATAAAAAAACGGCAAAAAATCCCCATAGTACAATGTAGCAAGTGTTTGCATAATAGGTGCAATGACGTTTTTAAGTTAAAATCGTGTCCAAAACGTAACACTTCCACCTATAAGACGTAATCGCATAGGCGTCAACCAGTTTTACGAGACATTACGCTCGCGCGCACGAGGGGAGAGGATATCACGTAATCTTCCGGAAGTTCGAATCGATCGAAGGCGTAAGTATTAATACAGGAACAACCTACATCCGTACACGTCCATTGTAATATATATATTATATATACACACACACACACATATGTATACACACTATGTATACATAGTGTAATATTATGTCAGACGTGACGAATTTAAAAAATATATGGGTGAAGATGATTATTATTATAAAACGTGCTGTTTTCAAAAGAATCTTTTTAATAGGTACCTATTTAGAAACTGGTAAAAAAAAAATGGTTTTCACGTACCAAAAAAATACGATATTATTTTCACTAGCTGTTAAAATAATAATACTGTGTGTTATGAACGACGACGTCGGCGACAGCGGGGAGTAGGAGGAATAATATAGGGCAAAATGTATACGTCGTTGTCGTCCGAAACTCCGGACAATGTAAAATGTTAACATCTAAAATATCGTACTATTAATAATATAAACTAAAGTGGCTTTCGTATAGACGTTAATATTGCAGTCAACTCTATTATACAATTCTTGTTTTCGGATTTTCGAAAAGCTAAACGGGACAATAATTATAGAAGAGAAAACACGCACGAATAAAAATAATATTACAATATACGTACAATAATGTATTATAGGTATATACTATTCTGATTCAAGGGGTGTATCAAGAATATACATTATGATCATTGGGATACCTTGGAAAGTATTTACTTTTTTTCAGGTAGGAAGTGGGTAGCGAAACACTGTTCAAACACGTGGAATATCTCGTCAACGGGTTAACGGAAATAGAAAATGTCGACACCAGATTTATGTATTTGAACTTATTATTTAAACTCCGCTTATTAGTTTTTAATTCGAGTTGTCACCTAAAAATCAAAAGTAGGTAAACGGTTCACAAATAATGGTAATGTAACATTATAGAGTTACTTACTTATTTAATCATCAAACAAAACAATTCCGAAAAAAATTATATTAGATCGTGTTATTTTCCTGGGACACACTGTATATTCGTATTATTATCTGTTATATTCTTTATTGAAGAAATCGTAATATTTCGTAACTTAAATTTATAATTTTTACGGAATTAAAAATCATTTATGAACGTTAATGATTATATTAATTTATAATAATATCATCGAGACTAAAGTCCAGTTCACAAAACTGCTGCTATCGTGATAGCCGTGAAATTCACTATCGTGATAGTTACTAGCACGCATTATTGCACTATTCGTGTATGTACGATAGTACGATAACAACTATCTCGAGAATGATAGAAACTATACATCGTAGTGTGGACATATATTTAGTACACATCGTTTTATTTGATTGTCATGATAACACCAAATTCACATATGTTTATGGATTTAAATTCACATATTGTTATCGTATCAAAATTCACTCTATACACTATCATGCCTTCAATACTACGTTTTCTCTTGTGATAATTGACCATCTCGTGCATACTATCGTGATAGCAACTGCACGGCAGTAATATCAACGTGTAGACCAAGCTTGATCTAGTGTTGAAAGTTCAACCCACAAAAGTTTTAATAGCTATTTACTTTTATAGCGTTTTACCTTTAATATTTTTTAAAATAATATTATTATTGCCTTGAAACATCGATCAGTTACATAATATAATTGCGTCTGTAAATGAACGTTGGAAAACAAAAAAAAAAAAAAAATCAGTATAAAACTAGGGGTTACGAGTGTTTGGTACATTCCGTGTATATTATTATTTTATTATTATTATCAGGTACTGTCATTTAAAAATCGTTCGCAACCTTTTTTTTTTCGTAATTATTTGTTTTTAATCAAAATAAAACTAGTATGCGTACGCAGATTACATCAGTTACGTGATCAAAAGTTGTTTGTTCGTTTATTTATTTTTTTTCAAACGGTAGAACAATAGCGCACGTATGTACATTTAATTAGTCCGTAAAGAATGAAATAATCCAGATGTTTGAGGGAAAACTATTCACTCTCATGTAAAATGGCACAAAAAAAAAAAAAAAAATCCAGATGGGACATGGGTACTTCGTATCACGTTGATGTTGTTGATGGGTATAGCTTGGACGATATACGATAATATATTAAATTTAAATGAATACTGAATATGAAATGTTAAATCGTAATTAAAAAAAAATGTTAAGTTTAATTAAATCCCATGTAGAAATCAAAAATTAAAAATTCGATTTCCGTCTCTTCACCTACGTTAAAAAATTTTAATTTTTTTTAAACATTTAGGAAAAAAACCACTCTTGGGAATCTATAGAAAAACGTTTTCAACGTAGAGTACCGCCAGAATGGTTTTTTCACTTTTTTTTCTTTTTTGTCGATAGATAGAACAAGATGAAAATAAAAACGCAGATTTTTAGCACGACCACATATTTCGGTCCACTTGGAGAATACAACGGTATACGTTGGAGTACGGAAAATCCACGGGGAGACATAATAATATGTTCCCGTTTTGCTCCGCCCCTTCCCAAAGGACGTCTATGGATCGCTCGCGATACCCGAAATATTATGGATCGCTTATTACGCTATATTATGCATATTATAATATACAGCATATAGACTGCATGGACTTAATAATTCACATATTATAATATTATGTCGTATCTGATTCTCTTGTGTACGGTTAATTTATTATTCTGTAACGCGAGCACGTTGGACGGCATACGTTCGCGAAAATCCTTGCCGTCATGCTCGGCCTGGTACGACGTGCGACTGGTCCGTTTTCATTCCTCAAAATCCATTTCAGCGATATTCTCTCTCTCTCTCTCTCTCTCTCTCAACCCCCTCCCGTAATGAGCGAACAAATTTCCCAATTAAACGCCAGTTATGAACTAATATAATATTAAAGTCAAACGATAAATTGTACGAGATGAACCATCGCGTCGACGTTTTAAAATATGGAATATTCAACAAAAATAACTATCCATTTGGTAGTAATTTGTACAAATTTATACGGCTTTTTGTATACATATGCAAACGAGTTGAATAAATATTTCGAGAATAAATTATTGTAAAATGTCGCCAGTGAAGTTTCCTCACAAACCTTATCGTCTATACATTTTAAAAACGGCACCTAATAGGTATATTTTTGGAGGGAAGGGGGTTTTCTCAATGAGTTTTCGAACAAATAATTGCAAAAGTAATAGCGGTATGGGAATAATTAATGTAAACATTTCCGAAAGCAAAATTAACATTTTTGAGTTGATTAAATATGTTGTTAATTTTTTTGACATGATTATAACAAAACTAACATTTACCCAAATTTTGCTTCGGGAAATAAAATTATATTAATTATAATTTTTAGAAATGTCATGATAACAGGGAATTAAGTTAAATTTTAGAAGAAATGGTCAAGTCAAATATACATATGATGGTAAATTGGTATAATATAATAAATAGGAATTCAAGTAAAAATACGTCGAAGATGATCATCCCCTTTGAATTTAAACCGATACATTTATATTTATCAGCACTGATTTATTGGTCCGAGACACCTGAAAAATACTTTTATTTATACTAGTTATCTACATTCTACATATAAATATTAAAAATTGTCCGTGTCGTGGGCGATACATGCGGTCGTCCTCGGGATCACAATTATATAAGCAGGTGAAAAAAAAAATGCAATTAAAATACGATTTAAAATATGGAATTGTCCGGCCAGTAATCGATTTGGAAACGTCTGCGAAATTATTGTGCGGTACGTACGGGGAAGAGAAAACTCGTACCAATGCCGTCTGCAGTAGACGAATGACGTGATATTTTCCGCAGTTCTAACTCAGGTTTTAGATTCTGCAGAATGTAGCGGAGAACCAATTAGTTTTAATAAGATTCGTGCGTGTGTGTGTGTGTGTGTGTTTTCTTTGAATAACGTTTTTTCGGTTGATTGAAAATACTCCACGGCGTACAACAAAAAAAAAAAAAAAATGGATACTTTACATGCAGTTTTATTAGAAAACAGAATGTCTAGTTTTACAACACATCAGTTGTCGACGTGCAGTCGGTTTTGTTTTCGTTGATTTCTGCAGGGCAACATTGGAGAAACCGGGAGGAAAACACGCGATCAACACTACAGGTATAGTACCTATATTATTTGTTACTCCGCGCGCGAATCGTTTTTCGATTGCAATAATTCGATCGGCGCTTTAAGTAAATTAATTATTCCCAATATCATGGACACCTCTCGAACATTTCACGTGCTGCACCGGCCCCGCCCACCGTGCGGGGTTCGTCCGGCTTTTAATACATATTTGATATGTATACAATTTGTTCACACGCGTAATAATATAGTAATTATTATATGCCGCGCGCGCGCGTGTGTGTTCGTCAGCGCGGGTCCACCCACCGCGCGTAATCGCGTAAAACTACGAGTTTTGTTTACGTGTGCCTGCCTACCGGTCTGCCCGGCGTAAAATACTCGGCAGCAATTAAACGGCATCGGCTATTAACTGATGTCTGTCGATTAGAAATCGCAAACGGGCCGACGGCGGCCGCGTGTAACACTATGCGACATTATCTAATTTCTACCGGAAGACGATCAGAAACCGCGCGATTTGTATTATCCACACGGTTCACGTATATTATATCGTTATAATTTGTATACACGCCTATTTTAGATTCTGGGAGCAGTGAGGCACGTATTGGTTTTACAATACGTTGTTTATTTTTTTTTTTTTTGTTTCTTATCCGTGAACAATTTTTCTATGCGATAAATTTCGCTTTCATTTACAAGCGTGGCACTTTTACTGAAAGGAAATCTGACTTGGGTGGTACTTTAACTAGGTCATTTTTTTTTTTTGATTTTTCCTAGGAGTTTTCGTAATAAATGAGAAGTACCTGGAAACAACGTAGGAAAAACGGGAAAATGTACGAAACGCACTATTTTCAAATCGTATGTATTACGGCCTTTCAAAACATGTATAACCGAACTCCGCTCAGACACGTTTTTTGTAAACAATGATTAACATTTGAGTACAGATATACATTAAATTTCCTCCTACCTCCCCAATTTCTCACCCACACCAGTGGCCCACCCATCGCGTAAAGTATTTATGTCAGTTTGTTTTTTTAATTTGCTTATTTATATTTTTTTTACGTATAATGAATTACATTGTATCACGCAGTATTATACGACAAAAAGTGCACTGCAGACCAATGTGTACAATGAAGGAATGCAAATTTTATAACGGCCTACGAATAATATTACCATATAGATCAGTGTTTGGAAAGTTCCTTTTAAATAAGGAATAAGTTCACGTTCATCGTGTTAAAATCAAACTAATTCCAAGGTTTAAGAAAAGACATTGTTTCTTTCCTCGTTTCTAATAAAGGAACATTTTTGGTTCCCCAAATAAAAATCAAAATCATTCATGCGTGTATATATGTTTTTTGATTACATTTTAATAATATATTGTCAACTCCGTAAATATTTAATCTCAGTGGTGTATACAGCAAGTAAGCCGGGTAGGTTTTTTCTACGGCGAAAAGAATGAAAACATATTTACTAGCATCTATGCCGTCTCCACGTTTTCATAATTAATTTAACGTTGATACCAATTAAAAGGGAGTACAGTTCGGAGTTTAAAAGATATAAGGTTTTACAAAGATTATTGATGAATTTACTAAATTTAAAAATATAAAGAAATATTCAATTCATAAAAGAATATTGTAAATAGTTTTAATAATTCGTAATATGACTGAACATCTAGTAAATTTACAAGTTTAAATAATTTTCAATTATATTGGAACTAAGTATAATTTTTAATTTAAAACATATCTATTACGAAAAACGTGTTTATGCGAATTATGATGAGTATATCGATGAAAATACTACCAAAATTAGTAAAATGGGATTTCATTAAAATGTGATTATTATTTTGATCGGTTTTCGCCATTATTAAATGTACAAGTAACCTCAACCCAATATACCAGTTTCCCTTAAATAAATGTACCAGTTGTATTTACCGTATAAAATAAATCAGTAAAATATTACAAAAAGGGGAATTTTTACCAAAACAGGTAAATTTAGGTAACATGAAAAATTGTATACCTATATGACAAGTAACGATTGTCGTTAGCCGATAACTGGGTACATAATAGTAAATAACTAGACTCTATACACAATACGCATATTCTACAATATTTTCATTATTCCAGTTTTTTTTTTTTTTTGTTTTACCTATGCCAATTATTACTATCATTGAAATTATCGTATTTATTATTTTACTATATGTATTTGCTTGAAAATTTATTCCCCCTATTTTATGACAGGTGAGAGCAACTGGTGCATTTTACTCTAGGTAGTTATAAAATAATTATAAAATTATTTATTATCGGCAAACTATGGACAAACGCATTTTCGTGATCATATAATATTATTATTACCTACCTATATTATAATGTATAACTATCCAGTAAAGTTGCGTCAAGTCATTGAAAATGTTAAATTATAATTGTGCGAACAAAAATACGTGCGATGGCTGTCGAATTTTAACCCAGGAAAACAAAAATCAAAATTTCTGGAATTCAAATGTTTATTATCCATAAAAAAAAACGAAATTTATAAAAATCGCGCTTCGTATAGTAGTCGGTTTTGTTGCATTTCGATAGTCGGAATCGATTGTAAAAATACCTTCCAGACTTAAACTCTAACGTCCCTAATCTTTTACAGCCACGGCATGGCACCCTTAAAAAATAAATTGTGTTTCGCGGAATCCCGACTCTAATTCAACCTCAGTTTGTTTAACTATTATTAGCTGAAAAGACATAAGGCCATAGGGAAATTCGTAAGGTGTGTGCGGAACCTTTGTGATTGTTCAATGGAACTCTTTAGTTCCTCGGAACACACTTTAAGAAACGCGGCTCTATATTATTGCGCATTGTTAAAATGGTTACTGACGGACAGACATAGGCTGTATTATAAAGTTACTAATTTTTTCATAAAGTTCTTAAAAAAATTATAAGTAAAGTTCAGGATTGTGGCATATGGGGTAGTACCTACAATATGCATGGTACGGTTTTGTAAATTATGCTCGACTAAGATGTGCGTGTGAGAAAAATTGCGTGGAAAAAAAATAGACATATTTTTACGCAAAATTACGATATTAATAATATGTTAAAAAATTAACTTTTTTTAAAATTTATCATTTGCCCTCATTTGTTTACAGATATATATTGTAAATATTATATTTTAAGTATATTATCTGAGTATATCGGTACATTTTATGAATTTATTAGCCGTCACAATCCTTCGCAGTATAGTAATATGCACCCGGTTAGGTTAGGTTGTGGAGAGGAGGGTGCAGGGAACGAAGTAGGTTTTCATAGATTTTGCGGTAAATTTTCGTTTAATGCATCCAGGAATGATTCTCTATGGGAAGCGTCTGTGAGTCGTCTTTATTTATGCAGTACGACATTACTGTTAACGCCATTAGTGTTGCCTATCCAGAATTAAAATTATTAAGTCAAATTCTGGCTTTTGGAACTGGAGAAAAAAGTAGACAAATATCGAAAATCATTTCATAAAATTCTTGTAAATTTGCGGCCTATAAGGAATCCACCAATAGATTTTCAATTTTCCTACTTTCCGATCGCTTTTCTCAGAAAATCATAAATATAAAGGCATTTAAAAACATGTATAACCGAACTTCACTCAGAATCGTTTTTCGTTAACAGTGATTTATCGTAGCTAACGGATATGAATAAACCAACTTTGTGTGCCTCATTTTTCCAACTACCCACCTACAACATTCGAATACTCTGTATCCCACTTACCTACTTAAAACCTACGGGGGTGTATTAGTATATTATATATTCATATAATCGTAGTTTTCCTCAAGCTGAAAAACGTTAATAATGATTCGAGGAAAACTGAGCGCTTGTGTGTATGTGTGCGTCTATCATACACTATGTACAAAATACTCTTGCATTATTACAACATATGTTTCCGTTTTCGTGACCAAAAAAAAATTTAAAAAATACTTACTAATAATAATAATAGTAATAATAATATTATGAATAAAGTATACAAGTATGATAAAATATACCGAAGTAACGTACCTCAGGAATGCGTAGTGCTCGGTGATTTTTGGCACGGTCCAGCGGCGTAAATTACGAAATTCGACGGGCGCGACAAGCTGTCAAACAAAACGCAATACACGTACTCGTAGAAAGGACGAAAAAAAAAATACGATTTTTTTACAAAAGCGTTTTTTTTTTTTAATGTGAAAATACCGCGAGTGTATGGATAATAATTGCGAAAAACGAAAATTAACAACAATAAACGCTAACGGCAAACACCCTCTGCGTCGAAAGCGGTGCGGCTGGCGAGTGAGCGCGTGCCGCTTGATCGGTGGCGGCGGCGACGGTTTCCGCGGTCGGAAGAAAATCGGACGGCGCGGCGACGACGGTGGCGACGGCGTGCGACTATTACGGACTGCGGACGACCGGACAAGAACGCACGAGAGAGTGTACGGTGAAATGTGTTTCTCTGTGAGACTATAACATTAAGTCCGTTGCCGCGTCGCCACCACTACGCCTATTTTTTTTTTTATTTTTTTTTTTTTTTCTATAAACCTATACCGTAGTATAGTTGTTATTTAATATGCACGCGGGCGCAGACTGATTGGGATACTGGGACATTCCCATTCCCCGAAATTTATCAATAAGCCCCAATAATCTGTATGAATTCGCCTCAATCAATCTACATAAAATAATCGCACCTTTTTCGTAAGAAAGTTATGAATCTCCGATAATATAATAGAAGGTATATAAGTAGTATGTCCACTCAGACCCGTAGGGATGGGGGGCATCGCCTCCCCCCCCCGGACCTAATCGTTGCTCCCTGAAAAGTATTAAATGTGTATCTGTAGTAAATATTACTTTTTTCTTATTGCTCCCCTAAAATTTGGCTCCTCTAATGATTTGGTCTGGCTACGGGCCTGCGTCTATTACTGTGTAAATACTGTTGTAAATAATTAGTTTAAAATGATTCAATATAGCATTGATTGTTTTGAATCGATTAATATACAAGTACTTTCCAGACGTGGCAGTGGCGTATATAGAAATTAATTTGGGGGAGGGTCATAAAAGCTTTTGGGTCTTAGCTAATACATAGATTAAATAAATTCTTAAATACGCACGTGTGTCGTACCAACTATACATTTTTTTCTTTGGAGGGGGGGGGTTGAACCCCTAAAACTCTCCCCTATATACGCCACTGAGAGGCGGTCTTATTTTCAAAATATTTTCACTCTATTCGAAATTTTCAATTTCTATTTCTATTTTCGTGGATTCGGGTTGCAATTCATTTCTGTCGTCATGTTAAATTCAAATTTATGTTAAAACTGGTTAAAAATACAAACATTTTACATTTATTTTATAATCATAAAGGAATAAATAATTTTAAATTTAAACTTGTCAAGACATATTTAACCGAATTTGGCTCCGAGTCGTTTTTCGTTTGCAATGATTTATTATTGCATATAGATAAAAATCAAATTACCGTATGCATATTATATCATATTATCAGCTATTAAACTTGCAACAGTGACCTACTAAAGATACGAATAAGGTATATCACTTCGACGTTTTAAAATTTGTTTTTTTAATATATTTAATTTTCCACAATAGTTGTAGATATTTGCCCTAAAATTATTTAGCATCTTGTGACCCTTTTTACTAGCCCACCTCTGTACACAGTATACACGTTACTATCATATTTTAGATTCGGAGCGTAACAAGGAATCTATTGGTTTCACTATGATGTGTGGTTTTTGTTCGTATCTGTAAACGACTTTTTTACCAAAAATATTGCTCCAATGTACAGAGTGTAGTATTTTTTCTGAAAGGAAATATTGTCTGGTTGGTGCAATAGAAACGTTCGACGATTTTTTAAGTGGTTTTTAAAATAGTTTAGAAAACCCGAAAACAAATATTATAGCTAAGTAAAACAGTAAATATTTATGGCAACGTAGCGTCCAGGTTTCATTATTTTATTATGTTCTATTATATTTTCTACTAGAAATATTACTCCAATAAACGACAAGAGACCTTTTTTGTTGCATTTTTAATCTAGTTTATAAGTAAGTTTTTTTATTTTCTTGATGGGTTTTTTAATAATTGAGCAAAACCAAAAAATAAGTAGAAAGAACGAGAACATTCATGAAAATAATACATTTGTTATTTTCAATTTTGTTTTTTTTAATGTAATTCAGTTAAAAATATTCGTAGAGACTTGAAAGTTGTACAAAAAATTTATATTTGACTTTTATAGACGTTATAAAATGTATCTAAAAGATATCCATAGGCCCTTTTAAAATATAATTAAATCATCACTGATTTGTTAAAAGAGCGTATACTACATTCAATACATGAATTACTTTGTGTACAAGTAGGTATTATGTATACGAGTAATTGTATTATTTTTCATGATAAACATCATTAAAAATTGTTTTACTATTTCTTTGCAAAACAGTTTTTTGTTTGCTTTCAGAAAAAAGTGCTTTAGTAGTATACGCTCTTTTAACAAAATATTGTCGGTTATAACCGAACTTTGCTCGGAATCGTTTTTCGTTTTCAATGGTTTATCTTTGATTACAGGTATAATAAACAATTTTATGTATCATACCTTCCCAACTACCCACCTACAACAGTGACTGAACCATCCCCAGTATCAACTCTTTTTTTTTTTTTTAATTATTATTTTGCGGTCTTATAATATAATAATATTATTGTTATTTTCTCAGGCAATGAGCAACTTAAGCGCATCTTTGTCTCCTACCTCAGGCAGAGGCGTATTTAGTGGTTGAAAATAGTGGGGCATTGGTTCCGGTGTGTCATGTTTTAAGGGGGCGTCATTATAATATTTTTAAACGTCATGGTAAAATATCAGTGCGAAATGTAACGTGTACGGGTCGATATTCCAGCGTATTGTAAACAAAATGTGTTCTTATGATAGGGCACTGAAGAATTATAGTGCCGTAGGGTGCCAAAAATGTAAATTCTCCCCGTCCCTAGGTTGTGCTCAAATAAGGGGTATTGAAAATGATCCACTTAACCACTCCATCCCCCATATAGTTTCTTTAAACGATACATTAACTATATGATGATGCCATCACCAACCCAATGTTTGGTCCCGTGCCGTCATCACAGCTATATTTAAGCACGTGTACGTATATAATCATGATATTTTATCATCACATAAAATACCTACACGGAATATACTGCAATCGAACGACAGCATACACGTAATTTTAATTTTATTATCCGTGTTTTGGTGTCTTTATCATTTTCGAAGCTTGACGTGATTTTATTTTATAAATATTTGAAAAGTTCACAATAATATTTGACACAAGTTTAGGATCACATAGCTTTATCGAAAAAATAAAAACGGTGGGCCACAGAGAAAATTCCCTTCTATATTGTATACAACATTAGAATGTCTAGAATGCGTAGTAATTATTCGAATAGCTTTGTTAAAATATTGTGTTCACGTAAAACTCGTTTTTGGTTTCAATGAGTTACAATAATGTGGTGTCCTCTTCATATTGATTATTATTATTTTTACAATGAACAATTTTTTTTTTTTTAAACCTGTTGAATAGTGGAACGGTGGTACACCATTGGCAGTAGACGTTCATTCGTTCTGTTTTTTTCTATTATCATTATTTTAGTTGGGGCGCATTTATTCATAATTGTTTCTTTTTAGAAAATTTATAATTTTTTTTTAGTTTTCATTTATCTTTATATACTATGCGTATAAAATAAACTACCAACAGAAATATTATAAATCCAAAATGTATCTATAAAGCGTCTAAATTTTATTTCGGTTAAGTACTTTGTCATAAATAAATAACTTTAAAGCTTTAAAACATATGCAGTTTTTGTCCAAACCTTCATAACCATTTTTATACGATTTTTTATAAATTTTTAAGCTTGCTATTAGAAATAAAAATATGTACTGTATAGGTATGAATATTTCGATTCCTAGTACATTACTTATTATTTTAAGTTACAATTTTAGATTCTTAGTGGAGTGAAGAACCTTATGTTTTTACGAAGATGTTTATTTATTTACCTTTTTTTCTATGGACAGCTTTTATACCAGAAATCTTGCTCCGATTTACAAGTGTGGCATTCATTTAAGGAAATCGGATAAAGGGGAAGGGAAGATATTTAGGAAACTTTAGGGAGATCATTTTTTGATTTACCCAGGAGTTCACCTAATAAATAGGAAAAACCAGAAAAAAACAAGAAAACAAATTGTGAATATATGTACAATATTAAACAAATGTTTGTAAAGAAAATATATAATAGCCTATGTAATTATTTTACCATAATATGACATTTATATTATTGACAAAGCAACACCATCTACTGAACTCCTCTCAGGATAGTTTTTCGTTATCAATAGTCAATCGCTGCTTACATATTTAAGCAACGTATATCAATGTATATCTATACATTAAATTTCCTCTCTACTACCTTCTCAATTTTTCACCTAAAACAGTTGCTCACCCACATGCGGAGTTGCCCGGCTTTACCTACATAACCTTGGTCACTTTTACTAGCAAATTCCAGTTTAAAAAAAAAATAGAAAAATATTAATTTCGCTAGATTGAGCGATAGGGTGTTAATTGCTAATGAAAAATGAACTAAGTAATCGGTTTCTGTGGTAACTATACTGTTCGTTGTGCATATCCTCGAGACATCTATTACGGTTCTTCCTTAGTATTTATTTTTTCGTTTTGTTTGCGTTAACTTTTTTTTTACTTCATCCGTATCACCATGGTAACCCATGAACCAACAAAAATAATTAGATTTTCGTGCTAAAAATACAAATAACCCTGTGGCACGCTCCCTTTACGGCTTCAATACAGTAGGGATAAGTATAGCCTATATATTGTTCCTGGTCTAGGACTATATCTATTGTTCAGTTCAATCCGTTATGTAGGCTGGAGAAGTAGTGGTAACCAACATACATCCATACATACAATGCAACTTTCGTATATGTAATATAGTAGGATTAAAAGACATTTTGTTATAAACAATTTATTTAAACACATTATTATTGCTCGTCAAACGAATTGGCTGATCATCCAAACGGCAGGCAACATTATTCTTATTTCGTATTGCTAAACTAATTTTAATAATATTTGTATATCTATATTATAACACGCGTCACTTTCTACAAAACCAATATATTTTCTTACCATATCGAACAACTATACACTCCACTCCAACGATATAATATTATTATAGCCTGATAGCATGTGTCTTTTTCTTCGTTTGTTTCACTCTCTCACGAGTATAAATACACAGTGGTTTATTTTTCTTATATTTTGACAACAGAAATAATATATCAAATAAAAAAGAAATAATAACCATCGTCTCAAAACAAAAAAAAAGCTG